CTATGACTCCTATACTTCGCAGTCATGCTCAGAAGCCTATTTTCTCTACACATCTCTCTGAGTTTACCAGGGGGAGGATTCTTGGGTTATACAAGTCTCAGATGAGATATCAGCAAATTTTCCACTACCTTAATATGCCCTACACTACGGTCAGAGATACAATTGTAAAGGGACATTAAGAGGGCAAGGAGAATAAGGGTAAAGGAAGACATCATAAAACTACCATATTACAGGATAATGCTACGGTGGAGGAAGCTCTTAAAAATCACCATACTATCTATGCTGACATTGCTGAGCAAGTTGTTCCTAATGTTTCTAGTAGGACAGTAAAGAAAACACTTGAAAAAAAGCATCTTAGAAAGTGGACAGCACAAGAGAGAGTTCATTTGGATGAGGATCTAGCTCAAGAGTGGTTGGAATGGGTATTTGCTCATAGGTATTGGACCAAGGAGATGTGGAGAAGGAAGGCAATGTAGAAGGTTGAGGTAGCTGTGGAAAGGGAAGAAAGAAAGAGGAGAAAATGAGTTTCCAGATACCCATATGAGAAATAGAATAAGGATTGTATTGAACTTAAGGCTAGGAGAGGGGAGAGAGAGATTAGCTAGATGATAACTGGTTGTTTTTATAGTCAAACTCATGGTCTTTTTTTTGCCTGTTTTTCCTGATCCTTCTTCTGCTAGGGGTGGGGTTACTGAGAAGTCAATTATTAATATTTATGATCATTATAACTTTTTAGGAATATGGGAGAATATCAGAGAAAATACTAGAGAAGAAGAGGTATTTTTTATCATTGACAATTCTAAGACTCACTTGCCTTTTAGGAGATGGCTCACAGGGCAGGGAATTACACTGTTGGAAATTTCTGCCTATTCACCAGATCTCAATCTAATTGAAAATATTTGGTCTCTGATGAAAGGTAAGCTTCACAAGCACTACTCTGAGCTATATCTTATGAAGGGTAATGTCAATGTGGTCAAGAAGGCAATAGTAGAGGCCATCACTCATTGTTGGTAACTTCTTGACCCAAAGGTTTTTGATACTTTAGTTGGATCAATGGTGGATAAAATAGAGGCAATTATTAAGGCTGATAGATAGGATATCAAATATTAATTTCTACTATATATTTACATCTTTCAAGTTTTTTGGTTTTCATGATAGTAGATTGGTGGGTAAGTGTGGTTGTTATTGCCGAAGATTTTCCTCTGTTGAATCCTGTTTAATTTTGTCCACACAGAATACTATCCCATTGACTGTTCAAATTCAACCTGCCGCTAATAGAAACTAGCTCAGACGCATGTTAGCATTGGTGTATATTCCATATCAGTAAGAAACAATATATTGCTCTCAGGATGGATGATAATAGCTTCATACTTTATTCACAATAACAAAAAGTAGAATAAATATAATTTCAACCAGAATAACAACCTAGTTGCGGAATTTCTAAGTAATGTGATAAAATAATAATATCTCCTAGAATATCAGTATACCATCAAATGCAATCCACTTAAACATATGAATATTTAAATTTTTAAAAGCTTTTTCTATTCTATAATACCTTCAATTGATAAGGACAAACTTGTGATCAGAGAAGGAGGATGGAGGTAACAAGGAGAGAGAGAAAGCCACTACCGGTGGCAGAGCGGGCATTCTCACACAATCAGAATTGGAAAAGTCCAGCAAGTTGAATTGAGCAAAACTACTTTTGAGATAAAAAGTTAATGATTTTAAGCTATTGGTTTTATATACTTCTTGCAAATGACAATAGTATGTTCCTAATTAACGTTGTACTAAATTTTCAAACTATTTTTATGAAGAAGTAATATATTTTAGGTTGGTTGTATTATATTGAAATATGAAGTTAATAAGTATAAAATAAAAGGTGGAGTTCAAAATGTGACTTGATTTAAGGTGTTATCTCAATTTATGATTCAAGAATCCACTATATCCTCCTCTGCGATGAAAGACAACAACCTGCTGGCCCAATTGGAATCGATGGATCTCACCCTATAATGTCTCTGAACCGGCTCCCAAATCCTTCCTTGCTATCCTTATATACAGCAAAGTTTTATTGTACACCTACCATTATCAACTACCTCTGAAGTTGGGACATAGTTCCATCACTCATTCCTAGTAGTTGTACTGGCTTAATACAATTCTTAGATATTTCAATTAATGACTCATTTATAAGTATCCTCTATGATGTACTATATATACATATGGATAGTCTTAGTCAGGATGCTCTAAATACTTACGATATTAAAACTGAGTCAGTGATGGGTCAGCAACGAATTCTCATAACAACATGTGTTGCAGAAGCTTGGGAATTAGTATGTATAATAACTTAAACCTCTTTATATTTAATATATTAAATGACTTGAATACACGGATATATTCCTACAATCAGGTAATTTCAATATATTAAATTAAAGAAAATAATAAATGAAGTTTGCTAAATTAATTAGTTTTCATCAATACGACAGACTATTGTTCAACCCTGTTTCCAGCAATGTGGATTGTCTTTATCAATTAATGGGTCAGTGGATCATGAACTATCAGTGAAAGGGTTACAAAACCTTAGTATTGAAAACTGGGATATACCTCAATTGAGTGGAGAAGAATCTGGTAGGGGAGTGGACAAGAAAATTGAAGTCTTGGATGTGGTACCTAGAATGCTTGAAATGTTGAGAGTAGAGGGTGGAGACAAGAGCAAGCAGCAAGAACTACAATTACTGCCAGCACGGCAGCCAGTGTAGCTGCTTGGACTAGTAATGAAACTACTACTATAGAGGCACGAAGAGCTGGCACAGGGTTAGCAGGTCAAGGTTCCCCATTTCAATTTCCCCTATCTCTGAAGATATTACAAGGTTAGTAAATTCACCATATAATAATATAAGATTTAATAAATACAATTTAAATAACCTGAGGAGTTTTGTTTATTTATTTATTTATTCTAAGCTAAAAGTAGGCGAAACACAAACGAGAGTTTCACCAAACATTACACCAGATAGTATTGGTATTAATATGACTCAGGTAGTTAGAAGAGAGGAGGAGGATAACTGGGAGTTAGATGAAGCAGATGACTTCAATATTTGTGCTGAAATTGTTGAGGCTTTGGAGGTTTAATAGGCTCTTGTTTTCTGCTCTCCTATCGCCCTACCCCCCCCCCTTTTTTTTTTTTTGTTTATTTCTATTTATGATTAAAATTCTATCCATATTCAACATGTAATATGTATTAAACAACTTTCTAAAGTCCAATTATATCTAGAACAGCTAACTTCAAGTGGTTTAGCAGTCAGTAGTGGCGGGTCGAATTTGAACAGTCAATGCGGTAATATACAATTCTCTTTTTCCGCCCGGGTTAGAAACGGTGCTATTGTACGAGTACTCGCGACAGGAAGGGATCTCCACCGGTACGGTAGCGCACTGTACCGGGGGGGGGGTTATGTGACAGATCGGGGCTTTTATCCTGCAGCGGGGAGACGGTGTGCGGTTCCCTCCGTGTAATGTACTGTACGAGTACTGTACTGTACTAGTACAATACTCGGGAGTGGTCATGAAGGGGGAGGGGGGGAAACTTGTAGTGGGAAAAAAAGCAGGGATTATGTTGATTGATTGATAAACACCATGAAAATAACCATATATAGCTTTGTATATCATAGATAGAAGTCAGAAACCCGGACCAGTTTGCATTGCTGCTTACTTTAGAGTACTTCTCTCCTCCAGGGACGAGAACGGGAGAGATCCTGAAGGGGCTGATCAGGGTTGCGAGAAATCCTTAGACTATCATACCGGTATGGGACTGGTCTGCACAGGTATTGAACCAGATTTCATGATTCTTACCTCACGCTACCTACCGGTGCTGTGCCTTAGCATCATCCTCTTCCCATTTCACTTGATGTTCACTCCGGATTGCTCATGTCAACCAGGCCTTGTTTTTTTTTTTTTTTTTCCAACTAACATTGCACAGCCGCTCACTAACTTGACCATGCCCGAACATAGCGAGTCACTAGACCGGACTTGACAGCCTTACGCACTAGTATCATAATATCATACCAACTTACTGTGTGCAGTTGGGAATTTCTTTTCAACTCGTTGTTCCAGGGTTTGCCTGTCGAGGGCCGAATCCCGCACGAACCCGCCGCACTGCACGTGTGATTCTCAACTCTTGTAGCCACTCCCCAGAAATCATTACAAATATGCGTCGATCATGGTTAATGACGATCATTTCCTTTCGACGTGGTGTGATGTGTATACCGGTATCATACGGGATGGTTTCCTCCTCCTCCTCCGCATGATGAGCAGTGAAGGGGGGAGGGATGTGTGTGCCGTTCGACACTCGTGGGGTTTACTCGTCGCAATATTGCTGTATTTAGAAAATAAAAATAAATAAAATAAAATATGGATTATTATTTATCTTTTTATCTTTTTACTGGAGTGGACGGAGATATCGCAATAGATCACAGAGAGGGCTCGAATGTCAAAGTGTGGTGGCTAGAGTAAAATAGATGGTCTAGAATTTTCTTGACATACCTGCAGCTTGCACAGTGGGAGAACTTTTGTTATCCATTATTTTAAGGTATGGTGCTGTCCGTACCATACTCGTAGAGCAGAATGGCCGAGGCCGAGTCGAGATTCGAAAAAGTGTCGGAATTATTGTTGAATATTAGCACTTGTGCTGTGCACTACAGTAAGAATGTTAATAAGTGTTTTTTTTTTTTTTAACGTAGGTGGCGATGTGATTTTGAGGGCTTATGATGAGGTGAGAAGTGTTACCCGCTGCCCGTACCAGTTATGTCCTTGGAGATCTTGAAAAGCAGGCGGGTAATTAGTAGATCAGCCGGGCGCAAGTGCAGAAAGTAAACGATTTCTCGACAACTCTTGCTTTTTTTATATTTTTATTTTGATCACTTCCGCTCCAGCACAGGCCTTCCTTCGTTCCTTCCTAGATAAGGGGGAAGGAAGGTGGTGATGGTGAAGGCAAAGTGTCCGTCTGAACAGGGCTATATCACTCATTAGTCGTTCGGTTATCCCGGGGGTTTTTTTTCCAAAAATAGTGGAACCGGGATTGTGAAGAATTCGCTGTGAGAGCTCCAAGACGCCAAGAGGGCATCCTTTTCCCCCCCAAGTCCAAAAAGGGCCGAGTTGTTGCAGCAGAGGGAAGAGAGCATCTGTCACCCACAGTTCTTGGAACCTTCCACGGAACCTTTGGAGAAGGGCATTGCTTGGTCTTGTTCCCGAGAGACAGAAAGATTTATTTTCTCCTGTTCACCCTTTTCTTCCTTCCCTCTTCTTCCCTTTCTCTCTACAAAACTTTATTCTACTTTCGTTCTTGTACTACACGAGTAAAAGAGTCTCGGTGTGCAATTGTCGGATTGTGAGCTCAGTTTACTTCACTGTCGTTCGTTCATCGATTCGTTCATTCTCACCGTCACTACTGTTAGCAACCTGTTTTTCGGTTCGCCTGCTTCTGGGGCCCCAGGAAAACGTTTACCTGCTTTTTTTAGTCTTTGCAGAGCAAAACAGATCTGGGAACGTCACACCGCCCACGCAACGTTGCACCCGTGTCGAGTAAGGGGTGGGAGAGAGCGTGAGCGGAGGAGGGAAATCTATTGGGACAACACCTTTCCACCTTTGTTGTCCGGGAGAATAATATCAATTGTCGTCGTTCGTTTTTTTTCCGGGGTAACACCACCATCATACAAAGGAGAAGGAGAAATAGGAGGGAGGACCTAGCCTTTTTGCACTCGTTAACAGTCAACTTATTCCGTTTACCAGAGTTCGGGACCCCTTCCCCCCGCTTTTCTCTTTGAGGCTCCATCCCTCGTTTTTTACCTTATAAAACACTATCCTTGGTCCTGCAAAGAACCGTTGCCGAATTACCAAGTTATGGACTCTTGCTTCCTCGATAGTCTGGAGCATCTGGCAAAACGACAGCACGAATCCAATGATACACTCAAGAAGTTCCTGGATCTCGTCCAGTCACCCTTTAGGCAATCCTTTACAACTGAAGCTTTCTTCGCATCTTTGGGTACTTCGCTAGGGATCTCTGCGGCTATACTATTGGGCTGGTGTTTGATTCGACCCTACAATACCGTGGTATACGCTCCGAAGTTACGGCACGCGGACGACAAACGTGCACCTCCACAGATTTCAAAAGGATGGTTTTCCTGGTTTCGACCTCTTGTTAAGTGCCATGAGTCGGATTTGGTGGACAAGATAGGGCTTGACGCCGTTGTTTTTCTACGGTTCTTGAGGATGTGTCGGACGATATTCTTCTTCCTGGGGCTTATCGGGTGCTTGGTCATGATTCCGGTGAACGTTAGTTGCAACCTCAAGAATAGTTGGAGTGGATCATATGCCAGCTCGACTCGGTGGTTCATTCTCATGAGTCCATATTATGCCTGGGGGAAGTGCATGTGGGCCCATGTTTGCGTCGCTTGGCTCTTTGATTTCATCATCATGTACTTTTTGTGGAGGAATTATAAGGCCGTCCTGAAGCTACGGCAGAATTACTTTGAGAGTGATGAGTACCAAGTATCCACGCATTCAAAGACATTGATGGTAATCTTGCTAGATCTTCATCCGTCACGTGAATTGTTTCAGAAAGCTAACCTATCTTAGGTCACGGATATCCCGAAATCGTATCGCTCTGATGACGGAATTGACAAGATAATTGGGGGATTAAGTATTCCCGATAATGGGGACGGAAAGTCATTGATTGGTAGAAATGTCAAGGACCTCCCGGAACTTATTGAGGAGCATGCAACTGCTGTTAAGCAGCTGGAGAGTTACCTGGCAAAATACTTGAAGCACCCTGATAACCTTCCTCCAACACGGCCTTTGTGCAAGCCCTCGAAAAAAGACAAATCTATGCGCCATGATACCAAGGTTGATGCTATCGAGTATTATGGGGGCCGTATCAAGGAGCTGGAGGATAGGATCAAAAATGTCCGCGAAACCATTGATAGTCGGGACGCCCTACAGTATGGTTTTGTGTCCCACCCGAGCATTTCCCGTGCGCATGTTGCTGCCAAGGCGGCCAGAGGGAAGCATCCCAAAGGAACTTCGATCATGCTAGCCCCGAGGTCAAACGATATCATTTGGGACAATCTGACGTAAGTATTCGCCTAAAGGCTGTATGATTCGGAGCTCTACTGACCTGAAACAGTCGCCCAAAATCGAAGAGACGTTGGAATAGTTTTATAGGAAATGTGCTATTCATTGGATTGTCCATCCTTTATGTGGTTCCTAACGCGCTCATCGCTGTTTTCCTGTCGAATTTACATAACATTGCAGCGCTGTTTCCCGAGTTTAACAGCCTTCTGATACGGAACAGTCGGTTCTTTGCTGTTGTGTATGCCGCTTGTTCTGCCTTCACGGTCTGGATGTGAACTAACGGGTTGGGGGATTGTAGACAGGGTTTCGCCGCACCGACAATCACTTCAATCGTCTATCTCCTTCTGCCTATTATTATGAGACGTATTTCTCAATGGCAAGGGTGAGTAGTGGCCTTATTTTTGGGCTGTGGTGTGTAACCTGACTGGTTTCTAGTGACCTCACAAAATCGTCCCGAGAGCGTCATGTCACTCACAAGTTGTATATCTTCTTTGTGTTGAACAACTTGGTCGTCTTTACATTGTTCGGGGTAGGTGTCCCCCCTCATATGGATCATGTGGAGAGGTATGGGCTAACCGAGAATTTCAGACGATGTGGACTACAATTCAAGGCTTGGTTGAGACATCACAGAAAACGCAGGTTACATGGGACACGATCAAAAACCTTGGGCTGGCTACTAGAATTGCTCTTGCGATTTTTGAAGTCTCTACTTTCTGGATCACGTACCTACTTCAGAGGAATCTAGGAGCTCTGCTTGACTTGGCCCAGATAGTCAGTTTGATTGGAAAAAGCTTCCAGAGACATTTCATGTCACCTACGCCTAGAGAGAAGATCGAGTGGACTGCTCCACCTCCATTCGATTACGCCACTTATTACAATTATGTACGACCTGCCTCTCCACCTTCAGTAGGTTAGCTGACTTTTGCGGGGTAGTTCTTGTTCTATGCGACAATCGCATTGGCCTTCTCCACCACTCAACCACTTGTGTTGCCTGTTGCGTTCTTATACTTTCTCATCGATAGCTTCTTGAAGAAGTACCTGCTCATGTACATCTTTGTCACCAAGGTCGAGAGTGGGGGTGCATTCTGGAGGGTAATAGTCATCTTTGTTTTTGTTAGGGTATGGGCATAATACTAACGAGTTGTAGTTTCTTTTCAACCGCTTTCTGTTCGCAGCTGGTCTTTTCAATGTCGTTGTAGCCTTGGTTGTCTGGGTACGACACACCTATCAAGCTGCATTGTGCGTTATTCCGCTGCTCTTCATCTTGATTGGGTTCAAGTTCTATTGCCGCAATCAATTTGATGGCAAGATCCGATATCACACTAGGGGCTCTGACAGGGAGAGCCTTTACGGTGTTGGAAAGGGGATCCAGAAGGATCATTTCAATAAGCGATACGGCCACCCAGCATTGAACCGCCGCCTGATCACTCCTATGGTCGACGCTAAAGCTAGACATGTGTTGGCACAAATATACTCTGGGAGAATAAACTCTGAGCCCTCTCAGGGTGCTGGTGGTATCAGCCTGGATAACATGCATCGAGGAGACGCCGGTAGAAGACAGGATCCCTTTGGTGGTCGGTTCGAAATAGTTGAGGAAGCGGATATGGACTTTGAGCACTTTAGGCATAGGGCTGAATTTGCAGAGGATCATGGGGGATCAATATATGGAGTAGGGTCGGACGGTCTCAGCGACCGTGGATACATTACACCTCGTGGGTTTGGTTCTCCGGCTTCGTCTAGACCAGCTTCTCCGTCAACCCGGCCACGGAGGGGCCTGAGCCCTCTTCCATTAGGGGGCGGCTACCGTGGAACCGACTACGCTCCTGTTCCATCTGCCCAACACGGCCCACCATCACCAGGTTTCCGACACGGCCACCGCCCCGAGAGCCCATATATGAGCGACAGAGGCCTCGCAAGCCCAGAGCCAATAACGGACTACGGTCACCACGATACTAGAAGCGAAACCGAGTCGGTCAGGCATTTGCTCAGTGACCAGCAACACTACGAACAAACCCGCAGCTCGCAGAGCATAAATAGGCCGGGTTCATCGCATCTAGGCTATAATCCGGACTACCCGGAGCAATACCCACAGCCACGTTACGACGGCTACGACGGATACAGAGGGCATAGATGAAAGAAGAAAAAGGAGGAAAAAAACTGCTTGGGTTGGGAATCTTGGGCAGATTATACACCGGACGGTTTAATGACTTTTACATTTCTTGTACATCTTTTTTATACCATTTGTCTTCCTGCTTAGTCGGCCTTGTAGGAAAGGTCGGGGAAGTTGATTGATTGATTCTGTTTGTTTTTTTTCTTTTTTCTTTTTTCTTTGGAGTAGGGGCATCCAGATTTTATCTTTATCCTTATTTTACTTTCGGTGTAAATGAGTACTTTTCGCTTTCTTCTCTACTCGGGTACTGTACGGTACAGCGGTTGGTATTAGAACAATCGGATAATGGAATTTAGACTGTTGGGGCTAAGGCACTCATTATCGGGATTGGGCACGCTCTTAAAGTGGGATTGTGCTTAAGCTGGACAACCATTTTGAACTTGCCAGACAAATTAGCAATGAAGCATAAAATTTCCCAATTACCATCGCCGGAAGTTGGGCTTTCTGGATCTGCGTTACTATTGCAACAATTTATCTAAGCCTCTTCAAAGAAGCTTAAGAACGCAGGCGGGGAAGTAATCACTTGCTTGCAGTGCTTAAACCGAGGTCCTACCATTCTAGGCTGGCGCACCAGATATAGTTGCGATTAACTGCCCTTCCGACTCCAGAACGCACGCGGGTGCTTAAAACCTCGATAGTAATCACTTCCATGCAATGCTTAAACCGTGGTTCCACCACTTCTGGGCTGAAGCAACTTACCCAGAATGAGCCGCGGGGTATCCGATTGCTGCCATGGTACTACCCTTCTACGCACATCTACAGTATCCAGTTCCTCCACGCTCGTCTGAAAAGAATATATAAAAATAAAAAGATTGTCCTCAGCGAGAGTCGAACTCGCGACCTTCGGATATCCCAAATCTGAAGAGTGGGTCATACCTTGCGTAAATATGAGACCGACGCTTTAACCAACTAAGCCATGAAGACTGATAGCCTAGTCTCGTCAAAAGACACATAATAGCCATTCCCTCCTCCCCGTCCCATCGGACTCTGCCGAGTTGAAGTTGTCCCGTCCATTTCGTCCCCGCAGTAATTTAAGTTATGTTAGCAGCGCGCTCGATATTTCGTTCACTTCCCTGCGGAACCGACCAACTCGACGAAATACCGATTATTGCCACAAGGTAACTTTCCCTCCCCGACAGAGCGTTCGGAATTGTACTGTACCATAGTATGCTATATAACTCACGCTGCGGTCAACTCGATTATAATCCTCTCAGCATAGCTTCCGCCGTAGGAGTGTGGGAAAAAAAGGTGCCTTGCCCGCCATACGGTACTGTACTGTACTTTACAAAAGCGCAAACTTCACCGGCTGAAAAAAAAAAAAAAAAAAGAGAAAAAAGGGGGTATGTACGAGTACGAGTACTGTACCGGTAGACGGAAAAATTATCCCTCCGGGATACTAGTGTACTCGTACTCGAGTACCCGACGAATACTAGCTGCTAGTACCGGGGTTTACACTCTCATACAGCGCCTCATATCTCGTGTAACCTACGTACCGTCCTATGATATTCGTCATTGGCACAGCCATACATCGTAACGTAATACGAAGTGCAGTGCAGTGCAGCGCAGTTGCTCTGGTCTTGTCTGGAGAGAAGGAGAGAAAGAAGGGAAGAAAGAAGTCTGCCTCGGCGGGGGTCGGGCCTTATACGGTAGTGGAATCCCCACCTCGTCGTATCGTATCGTATCGTGAGAGAGGTTTTGGTGTTTTGTTTTGGATGGATGGGCTGTGAGGCGATGGTTGCTGTGAGACGGTATGCTCTACCGGTATGGTAGCGTGAGGTCAGGTAAGGCAGATCAGATCATGGCGTACGTATAGTAGGTACGAGGAGGAAGGAATATTTAATGTTCGGGGGTTCGCTGCTTTGGAGTTGGAATCAGTTCACTATCATAATATTATACGGTGCGGTACACTTCCAACAACTACGTTTTTTTACTACAAATCAAACTTTCCGTTCGGTGAAATGTGCTTCGGTTCAAGGAGCGATACTGAGCGCTCTTACGGCCCTCGGGCGAGGCCTCGTCGGTCACAGCAGGACCTCGCGCCCGGAAACTATACTGTCAACGTTGAGCCCAAGAGGAAGAGGGAGAAGAAGAAGAAGAGTAGTGGTGGGTTCCACAGTGGGGGGGGAATGTTTAGTGGTGGTTGGGGCGATTGGGGTGGTTCCGGGTGAGTTTTTGTCTTTCTTTTATAGTTCTTGTTCTTGTTCTTGGGCCCACTGACTTTGAGCGCAGATGTGGTGGTGGTGGAGGTGATGGTGGTGGAGGTGGAGGTGGTGGGTGTTAAGTTAATGTAATGGTGGGGGGTCAAGGGAGGATGGGGAAGGATAGATTAGAGGTCATGGGAACTGGAATGGGAGTTTTGGACATTATGGTGCTCGGGTGGCGTGCAAGTTGCTTTTGTCTTGTTTTTTTTGCGCTTGTCGTTGGGGCAGATTACTCTAGTCTAATTTATTATTTGAATGGGATGGATGACACAGTAATCTTGGAATTCACTATCTCCACTAGAACTCTGTAACCTCTGGATTCAGAGACAAGACTCTTCAAGAAGGATTAGCGTTCTCCTGATATAGTAAAAGAAGAGTACACTGGATGTGTTGGATCTCGTTAACTGGTGTTCGCAATTCTGCTAACCTGTCAAACCAAACCTATCATAGGATAACGGGCTGATTGAGATACTCGTACTTGTATGGTAGTGAATCCCAAGGGTTTTTACAATATTAATTTTATCTGTGATTATTGTTATGGACTCGTTTGCCCTTGGTCATGAGAACATAATCACAGTTTTGGGGGAATGCTATTGAAAAGGGCTCTTGTAAGGCAAATGCATTACTAGGATACTGGTGCGGTAAATTGCAAGGTTTTATTTTATTGTATTAGTGGAATATTTTCTCCCATATGTATCTACTGTTTTGGTGTCTAAGCAGCAGAGTTGATGATGTCCACGACTGCCCAAGCCATTAACACCAGAACCAACCACCAGGAGTGAGGGAGGTGAAGTGGATAACTCACAGGCAGGCTTCAAACTTGCACCACCAACCAAGAAACCGTCAACATCAGGCTGGGTAGCAAGCTCCTTGGAATTCTTGTCAGTGACACTTCCCCCATAAAGGATTCTGGTCCCCTCGGCTGCCTTATCAGAGACGGTCTTCTTCAACCAGTCACGGATGGCGGCGTGGACCTCTTGGGCTTGCTGTTTTCCCAATTATCAGTTTCTATTACCATCATATGAAAAGTCAGAGGGTTCGTACTTCAGTAGTAGCCACCTTTCCAGTACCAATAGCCCAAACGGGCTCGTAGGCAATGACAATGTTAGACCAGTCGCTGACCTCATCAGCAACAGCCTGAAGTTGTCTTGTGACAACATCGATAGTTGTTCCAGCCTCGCGCTCCTACAGAAATTATTCTGTCAGTTCTACCGGTATTCCATCTTATCTCGCACCAGCCACCACTACCACCACTACCACCACATGTGATAGCGAGAGCAAAGGAGAGGAAAAACAAACCTCAAGCGACTCCCCAATGCACAAAATCACGCTCAAACCCCCGGCAAGCGCTGCCCTAGTCTTTGAAGCGACAAACTACAAACACCTCACATCAGCAAACCCCCACATACGCCTCGATCGTTTAAAAAAAAAAGAAAGTTCGGCTGCTGAACACAGTGGAAAACAAACCCTATCGCTCTCCCCGAGAAGGGCTCTACGCTCACTGTGTCCGATTATGACCCAGTTGATACCAGCATCCTTCAATTGTTCTGGGCTAATTTCGCCAGTGTACGCACCATTTCCTTTGTCATAAACGTTCTGGGCAGCGACCTGGACACCGTTGCTGGCAATCTCTTTGGCAAGGAGGAGATAGATTGCTGGTGGGGAAATTACAACATCTGGGTATTCCCGTTAGTATTTCATTTACTTGCTTGCTTAGGGAGGGAGATTCTTTGTGGAAGAAAAGAATTGTGAACAACGAACCAACATTGGGGTCCAGAGAAGCATTGTTGAGCCCCTCGATGATGCTCTTGATCTGGGTGATTGTCCCGTTGGACTTGAAGTTTCCTCCCACAAAAAACTTGCGGACCTTTGTAGGTGTAATCAGGCTTAGTTAGTATAAGAGTGAGGACGTCAAATTTGAATCAATTGAAAGGTAGGTAAAGACATACCATTTTTGCCGAATTGTTAAAACGAAATTGAAAGCCCAAAAGTTATTCTGGTTGATGGCAAAGATGGTAGTTGTGTCGTGGTTATGAGAGATGGTGGATGAGCTTGAATGTTTATTCGGGTCCGTAATCTAGTTGGTGGGGTGAGAGCGGGGGAAGCGCAGAAACCTGGAAAATTAGCGGGCCGAGGAAATTCCAAAATCAAATTTAATAACCTCATCTGCGCCTGTCACTGCGGGATAAAATTATGATAAACTAAAGAAATGACACTATAAAACAGCTCATATTATGCCATCATCCTAGCATCCTGGGATTTTCCTGCTCCAGATATTTGTATATTGCTCACTTGAGGGAGTGGTAAAGAAAGTAAAGAAATTTAATGAAGACAGCTGAAATGTAGAAAGAATTCCAGGTGATAAAGATACAATTAAAGACTCTCGCTGCATTTTTGCTCCCATCTCTGTAGGTCATGTACAGTGCAGCTCAGAGATAAACCAGGAAAAGAATTCCATACCCTGACATTTAGGGAGCAAGAGCCTCAGAGCATCCGTGTTGCAAATAAGTCTACTTTATGTTTGCCTAAGCGGCAGTGGTGACCACCTCTTCAGCCTTTGCCTCCTCTACAACTCTTGTCTTCTCGGCTACTTGGGCAAACTTCTTCTCGTCGAAGATCCAGATACCATCTGTCTTTCCTTCCTCTGCGGCAATACCAGGGCTTTCGGCCAACCTTGTGAATACGGGGTCGTCCATAACTCTGGTGAAATACCTCCTCTCCCATTCCCTACCTTCTTCCTTCTCCTTCTTCCTCAACTCACGCTGCTCGTTCTCAATCTTGGACTTTTCAATACCGGTAGTCTCTAGGTCTCCCGTATTAATTGATTCCTGAACCTTAGCCCATGCACGACGAGACTCGAGAGGATCTTGTTCCTTGTTTGGCGCGATATAAAGAGGTGTGATCTCGGTAGTTTTTGCGTTGTAAGTTTCCAGCTGTTCCAACAAGTCATGAGTACGGTTTTTTTAAAAAAAGAGTTGGAAAAAATATAAATAGTAACAAGCTATTCTCTCACCTCCTTTGTTTTTCCTTCTTTAATGACGAAGCCATCAGACCATTGCCCATCGATCGTATAAAGGATGTCCTTGCTACCTTCTTTCCTCAAGGTTGCGGAAAAGGTGTTTTTTTTTCCGGTGACCCACCCCTTTCCGCTGTAATCGATTTGGGCGACATATCCAGTAGAGGAGTGGATTGTGCTGCTCCTGTTCAGCTCAACATATGGAGATCCGTATACAATCCCTTCAATATGTAGAGAAGGAAGGGTAATCAGATCTTTGTATGATCAGCATTAATTTGAAATTACTGGTCGTTTGAGATCGACTCACAGTCCTCATCAAATTTCTTCAAGTGATACTTGGCGTGCCCAACCTGCCTTACTGAAATGGTACCTCTCGAGAAAGAAGCCTTCTGGCCGTTGTAGCCTTCAAGCTTGACGCCTTGTTTCTGGTTCAAGATGGCATAGGCAGTAACAGGAGGATGGTGGCTGTTCAGATTCGGGTCAGGTTAGCTTCTATCCCGCGCTAAACGAGAGTCGACTCACCTAACTTGCTCGGATATCAATTGAGTCTCTCCAATTTTTCCGGTGGGATCTTCCCATTTTCCGAGGAACAGTTCCCCCAGAAAGGGGTTGAGTGGCTTCTTCTCCGAACCGCTAGTAACGCCAAATTAGTCGCGGGCCGCCGGGACGAAGGTAGGGCGGTGTCCTACAGCTTCTCGTTTCTTGAGCTATACTGCTGCTTGAGTGTGGTCAGGAACCACTTGAGCACCAAAAGAGCTCTCTTCTGCGGGTCTTTCTCTTGAGCTGGCGCAACAAATATCTCAGGATGTTCAGCCTGCAGGTCACCGTAGTCAGAAGAGTGTCCCGGGTCTCACAACAGTTGTAAGGAACACTACACGTGTTCCTGCTAATGAGGGGAAATAGTTCATACCCAATAACCCGAATACTCAGTTAAACTGGTAGAGCTCAATATAAATGGCTAAGAATGGTGAAAATCAGTCAAAGATTGTTGGGAAAGGGGGCCGTTTATAGGGAGGGATTTACTGGAGCTGTTAGACTCGCTAGATCCCCAGTGAATGACGCGATGGACTGTGAGAAGGTCAGTAATTGGTGAGTATTATGGGGACAGTGTGAACTGTGCATCTGACCTTCAGGAATGGGCCCCAGGAGCTCTTAGCAGCAGCGGGAACTGCACCCCCTTCTTCCTTGGACGAGCTCATGTTTGTGGTGGTTTGTTGATAAAGCTATTTGTCTTCCGTTGGGAATGGTGGGATCAATTGTAAAGAGAGAAATGTATACGGCACGGTGAGGACAAGAAGGAGAGGGAGGAAGGAAGGAGGAGAGAACGTATTCTGGGACAAGAAGCTGGATCTGCTGCGTACGTAAGGTAGGGCAGAAAAAGGTCCACGAAATCTTTGGTGTATCATTGGGTACGAAGTGGCCGGTTAGCATGGGCTGGTTGCTTTTTTGCTGGGTTGGCAACAATTAACTTATCCTATCATATAGCCGCCCTCCAAGGTATGGAATCTCATCCTTTGGCGAGGCGCGAGGCACCAGAATTTTGTAAACATGCACTTGCCGAGAAACAAACACGACGTCATTGTATTTATTTGGCTTCCCCAGGAATTGTTTCTTCCGAGAGAATGTATGCTAATGTCGAAGGCGGCTAGCTACTGTACGAGTTTTTCCCTCTACGAGTACACTATGGTATACCAACACTTCCAAAGCGTATCATAATTAACCCTCTTGGTTGCAACCTCTACGCTCTACGGTACACTTTGGGACTCACCGGTGGGATGCTCTGGTTGACCCGAGATTTCATGTCAGGACAACCTTATTCCAAGGGTCCAAGACAGTCAGGGTTTGGGGCTAGGGAAGACATCTGACACCAAATCATTCTCATTCTCATGTCATAGCTTCGCACCTGGCCTAGGTTTAAATTTATGCATGGCTCCAGGTCTCTCACGCGCGGGCAAATACGCTAAGACTAGTTGCGTCCTGAGCGGCCAATACCTATCATGTCTCATCACTCGCTAACGAGAAGAACGCTCTGCGATCCAAGAGGGTTCCTCAGCTGGCAGGCTGTGCGGGATGGAGAAAATCCCACACCTGATACTCATCAAATCGTATATCCCATTAGGGTACAGTACTTCGGGAGATATCACGAGCAGATCACAAAGGGCAACTCGGTTGAATCAAGGCTCAGATATCAATTCAAGGGAATTACCAAGGTAATAATGAGACAGAAACGGAGTGCTACAGATGGTTTTTTTTTCTTTTTTACCACAAACTGTATGTGCAAACCATGCCATACCTGCCATACCTATTTAAGTCATAACATCAGGCTTCTCCCTTCCGACAAACTCGTTGAATTTCAAGAAGTCCACAGCGAGCTTGATGTTTCCCTTGAGATAATCTTGAGCATCCAGCAGCTGTTTGATCTCATCCTATAAAATCAATGTTAGCCCCGATACGGTCATCGTAAAATTGATATAAATCATACCGCTTCATGCTTCTCTAGGTATAATCTGATGGTGGCTCCTGAGCTCCCGGTTCCGGACAGCCGGACAACAATTCTCGATCCATCGTCAAATTTGGCGTACAGACCTTGATTTTTGGAGACACTCCCGTCAATGGGATCGGTGTAGCTAAAGTTACCACCGTCTGTAACCTTCCTTCCGGAAATCTCGCTGCCGATAAATGACTCGTCATCAACCATTTCCTGGAAGGCATTTACAAGCCTTTGAGCTCCAGCCGAGTCAACATTCTCGTAGTCGTAACGAGTGAAGTAAGTTCCTTTCCTGATCAGCTTACGCGTCGGTTATCACATAGATTGAGAGTAACTCACGTCCATATTCTTTCCAGAAGTCCTTCTGGATATTAGCGATCGAGGGTTCCTCCCCAGCTGGCAGCTCTTCAGCAACACCAGCGATAATGTTCAACCAGGCTACGACGGCCCAGACACCATCCTTCTCTCTGATGTGGTTCGATCCGGTTCCAAAGCTCTCCTCGCCACAGATGCTCAGTCGGTCGCTATCGAAGAGGTTGCAGAAGAACTTCCATCCCGTGGGGACTTCATAGCACTCCAATCCCTTCTTCTTGGCAACAAGGTCGACAGCACCTGAAGTGGGCATACTCCGGGCTAATCCGAAGACACCCTGCTTCTTGAAGTATGGGATCTTGTCTGCATGATGAGAGATGATAGCCAAAGAGTCGCCGGGTGATACGAATGCGTTAGCTCCGTAAATCATGTTTCTGTCACCGTCACCGTCACTGGCGGCTCCGAATTGGATACAGTCCTCGTCCACAGCCTTAACCAATGATTTTGCGTAGGTGAGGTTAGGGTCTGGATGCCCACCGCCAAAGTCGGGAAGTGGCACACAGTTTTGTGTAGAGTTGGGTGGGAGCCCAAGCTCCTTCTGGAAGATGGCAATACCATATGGACCGGTAACACCATGCAGGCCGTCGAACAATACTCGAAACTTGGGGTTTGAGGCAAAGAAGGACTTGATGAGAGGGAAGTCGAAGATCTCCTTCATGTAGGAGACATAGCATTCAACGGAGTCAATAATTTCTACCTCTAGAGGGCCATAAGTGTTGGTTCCAATTGTTGCCAGGTCAATCTAATTGAATTAGCTAGCGAACCATCTGTAAATGTATCGGAGGGCTTACATCAGGGATATCGGCGATCTTGTACTCTGATATTATCTTGGTAATCTCATAGATCTTATCGGTAACCTTCTCAGGGGCTGGTGCACCATTGGCCAGGTTATACTTGATTCCAAAGTCCTCCTTAGGTCCTATTATCAATTAGCCCTAAACTTCACCTGCAATTGAAGCTTAACTCACCGCCGGGGTTATGACTAGCAGTCAACAGAATTCCTCCGGTGGCTTTCCTCTTTCGGATAACGTGGCTAGCAGCCGGGGTGCTCAAGATACCATTGTGCCCGATGAGCAATTTCTTGACACCATAAGCAGCGCCAATCTTTGCAATCTTCTGGACGGCCTCAGGGTTGTAGTAACGACCATCACCGCCAATTACGAGGAAGGATCCTTCGGCTCCTTCAGGGATAGCTTGAAGGAGTGCCGCAATGAAGTTCTCGGTGTAATTTGGTTGCTCGAAAACTGCTACCTTCTTACGGAGCCCGGAACTGAGCTCCTGTCAGTTTGATAGAACGAATTGATTGAGTCCCGGGTGTTTAAAGTTTGACCTACGTTCCGGGCTTCTGGCCGTCTGATAACGAATGACTGGGTTAGCTATGACTTATGACGTGATGGGACCCTAATAATAGTAATAATCCAAATAAACAAGCTTACCGAAGGGCTTCGTCGAAACTGAAGAGATAGAAAGGCTCATTGTATTGGTATTGGTATCGAGAGCTTGGATTGACTGCGGACTGCTTTGATGGTGATGGGTAGGAAGAGAGAAGGGATGGAATCGAATTATCTTAAATAGATGAGCCTCGGGATACTAGGGGAGATAGGAAGAAGGAAAAAAATTAAAAAAATGAAGTGTGCTGTTAAAAAAGACGAAGATAATTTAAGCAGGTATCATTGGAGGGAAGAAAATAAAAAACCGGAATTGGGAGTTGGGTGTAGTGAGGGGTAAATACCTCTTTCCTTCCTACCGTTTTTTCCCCCCAATTTACCACCACATTAGCTAGCAGTTTGGTCTAGTCGATTGCTACAGTGTGATATTATGGAGAGGTTGTGCCATGACGCGCTGCCCCGTCTTGGCGGTTGCAAGTGGCCGGCTCACGGAGGTTTGGGTTAGAGCCTTTTTTCTTTTCTTTTCTTTTCCGGGGGCCTGGTTTGGTTTGGTTTGGTTTGGTCTGGACTTTACCGGAACATGTATTCTCACTCGGTGGTAGTTTCGTTCGTGGTGGTTGATTGATGCTTGATTGGTTGGTTCGTGGGGGCCCGTCGGGAAACAGTCTGGGTTGAATCTGCATAGGCTGAATGTTTGCATTGTACAGGAAGGAGCATTAGAAGGAATAGAAAATGAGGAAGTTTATTCAGTGAGGGGTTTATTTTGAGCTGGATGGGAGGGTACAGTATTTCGACCGAGATGGGTTAGCTAGATAGGTGGCATGCTCTGTTATTGCTATCATAGTGGTATTGTATGATAGGTTGCTAGGAGGTATCGTCGTCTCCACAGCGTATCAGCGCATGTAGAGACTATCTATGTAATCGCAGACGCTTTAAAATTATCGTGGGCCATGCCGGTTCATTTGATATCCATGCGCTAGGTAGTATATATAGTGCAACACTCGCCCAAATAAAAATAAGTAAATAATTATCATGCCAAGTTGCATAAGGAACAGACATGAACCTGCATCATCTGGTCATACCTTCTCCTCCCTTCTCCTCCCTTCTCTTCCCTCCCCTCCCCTCCCCTCCCCTCCCTCTCACACCCACCCATCTCTCACAAACAGCAACAATGAGCAAGAATGGAGGAAGAGGAATACTTGGAAAGCTCTACAAGAAATATCTATAATCCGGACTCAGATCCCCAAGAGATTTCTTCTCCTCCTCAGTCGCGCCAGAGTATTTATCAATGCCTTGATCCCTCTTCCTATTCTCCCGGCTCACGGCCAAGAAGTACGCTATACAGGACAGCACCGAAAAGCACATGAACGCCAGGCCGATTGAGTACCCCTTCGTAAACCTTGGGGCATCCTTCGACAGGAACGAGTACGTAGATATAACACCGCCGACGTTACCGAAGCCGATTTGCCAGGCTGTGCCGACTACTCTTCTGTGATGCCCTCCCACTATTTTTTGGTCTTTTGTTAGCTTGCGGGTACGGTAGAGAGAGGGGTGGGAGCACAGTTTGTGTTGAACCAGCAGATGACGACCGGCATAGCGGTATACATTCCCATTGCTGCTAGGAAGAGAGCAAAGTACTGGACGTGGATGTTGTTGTGGACCGTCAAGAGGATGATAAAGCCCGCCATAGAGATGCAAATTGGGACTACCGTGAAGAGAAAGCGGTGCCTTACACTGTCGGAGATTGTCGCTATAGTCATTGCGAAGACAAAGGCGACGGCCCATGGGGGAACGGAGCGGAGTTGGGTTTGGATTGCTACCCCTTGAGTCAATATTCTTCTGATTTTTTTTGTGTTCATGTAGAAGCAGGAGGGTGAACTGACGGCTGTACCCAAATTGCCGGATGATGGTGGGCGCAAAATATGCATACCCGTAGGCTGGCACGACGATGCCAAAGTACATGAATCCTCCGATGAAGATTTTGAAGTCTTTAAAGACGCCGAGGGTGACCTTTGGGGTCAACTTGGCCTCCTGAACCGGGTCGCCAACGTCCTCTCTGAGGCGGTCTCGAACGAATTCCCGCTCAGCGTCCGTTAGGAAGGTAGCCCCCTCGGGGAAGTCGGTAATAATGAAGTAGAAGAGGAGTGAGATGACGCAGGTCAATACACCCTCTGTACATTTCAATTTCAATTAGAATAGTCCAATTTCCGCAGGGCATTGTGCTGTGAGTGTAAAAGAAAAAAAACCTACCAAGAATAAAGATCCACCTCCACCCCCGATACCCACCTTTCCCGTCCATAAGTCCAATTGCACTCGCAAGCAAGCCACCAAAAGCGCCAGCAAAAACAGTGGATGAGAAGAAGAAAGTGCACCGCTTCTGCGCTTCTTCACGCTTGTACCACATGGAAATCAAGTAGAAAGATCCTGGGAACATTCCTTCACGGGACAACCATCACACACATCTTCCAAATAGCGGATTGAGCAAGCAAGTGGAAGAAACCTACCAGACTCAAAAACACCCAAGAGAAACCTCGTCGTTAGAATCCCGGTATAATTGTGTACGAATCCCTGCATCGTAGTAACGAGTCCGAACATGAACATACATATCGGAACTTTAATTCACTCCCCCAGGCCCAGCAAATACTCGTAAGTAAAGTCCCAGAGCACAAGCCCCCCCCGGGGAAAAAGGGAGAAAAAAGATCAAGAGCCAAAAAATAACCGAGTATTCAAGAGGGGGGTGTCAATGATAAACTTACGCCAAACTCGAGGCCTCAATTTCTTCATCAATACATTCGACGGGATTTCTAATACTACTTTGGGTCAGCTCCCTGAAAAGAAGGAGGATGGGCAGCGGAACAAACAAATATACGGCGCAAAAAATATAGTTAAACAAGTATTATACTCCAGGCCACTGAGCTTCAGTTCCTCCTTCAGTCCGAATATCACTGCATTTGCGATATTTACGCTGACCTCGTCAGTCCGTCCATTCCCTACTATCATACATCCTCCGAAGGAGAGGGGAGCGGTGTGGAGTGAGACAAAACTCACCGGTCCAAAAACGCCATAACAGACAAAATACATAACACGGGCAACAATCTGAAATCAATCTTTCTCAAAAGCGCCTTCTCGTCAACGCCCGGCGGCGGCTGTAGCCTTGCATTGACATATTGTGGCGGTGGTGTCGTTACGGCTTCGAGCGCGCCTGCACTTGGGATTGAGCCTTGGCAGCAGAAGAAATAGGTATCATAAGTATTAATATCATAACGGGAAAGGAAGAAAGGAAAAACCTTTCTCGGAAGAAACCATAACTGATTTCGCCCACTACCGTATCTTTCTCCAGTGTAATTCAATGGATTGCAAGGCGGGCGGGTTGAAAGAAATGAAGATTCGCACGACCAGATGGGCGCACAGGCAGGTAGGCAAACAGTAGGGGAAGGCTCGGACGGGGGCTAGGGAGTTTTATACCAACTACACTATCTGCTCCAGATCACCAATTTACCTACCAACTATTATACCTACTTACCCACCTGTCGGTGCGGGGCGGGTGGGGGGAGATCGACTGCCGTGTCCTAATAATGTTCCTCTAGCACCCATACGTTACCATACTAGAAGCTCCGGCTACTCTCGATCACTGAATATACACGGATCTTGTAGAAGGCAAAAGCCGGAGGTCCGCTGGGGAGTCCGGTGAAGACGCTGCTCCCGGTATGAGCCTTGGGACGGCTGACAAATGGCACAGCAGTAAAGTGGGAGAAATTGTTTTGGGCCTCGGTGTTCACTGGGAAAGGTAGGAAAGGTATGGACGGGGTCGTTAACTTCGTTGTCCTATCCGGTTTCTTTCTTCTAAAGTATCGGTAGGGGTGAAGACAAGAGTGTATATAAAACATGATACAAGCATCCTGGTATGATACCTCCATGGGTCACCAGACGTACCTCTGAGCCTCCACGCATGCCCCCGTCCCTATGCATATTCCCATCACAGCAACGGAAAAAATGATGTCTGGAGAATCTCTCCCGCAAATCACCAAAGCTCCAGAACGACTGTAGCGTCCACAATCTACCATAACACTCTACCCCCACACAATTTCTATTAGTGTAGGTCCTGGAGAGTGAGTGGACGGTTTGGTTTCGGAGAGGAGTGTAGGGTACGAGCAAGCAAGGGAGGGTGGGCGTGAATTTTTATTTTTATTTTTTGTTCTCACTAGATCCTGGACCGATTGACGCCTTACCACGGTATAGCACCGGTACTGCAGCGCCCTGGAATTGTAACGTATCCAACGAGGGGGCTCGCCAGGGCCGGGAACTAGGCCGCCGGGTCTTTTTTTTTTTTTTTTTTATAAAAAAATTAATATTGAAAAATAGAGAGCACAATATTAAACGACGACCTTATTAAAAAAAAAAATGAATTGCAACTAAATAATTGAAGCTTACCAAGATGAGGTTACTGTTCCTGTTTGGTCACATTCAAATACAGGTATTATGCCAGGACCTGAACAAGTACTGGGGGGTAACCATAAGTCGGGCGCATTTCCGAAATGGGCTGGGTATTTACATGGGAACTATAGCATATATCAGGAAATTCGAGTGATATCTAATGATCACATTAGGTGAGAGATAGAAGTTGGGCGCACTTTTCTAATATCAATGCTATTTACAAACTAATATGGGGTGGGCCCTTCCTGAGTATCAATCACAGTTAGTAGTCATTGGGGTATGCTACAAATCAGGCTTTCTAGTCACTCAGGAGGAATTTGATGCTATACCATACTCAAAGTTTTTTCAATATTAGTAAAAATATAAAACCTTTTGCATCCTGAAAGGCAGTTTGCATTTGGCACATCCCATGTGCCTGATACATCAGTAAAATTATTACTTACATCTTTTACGTCCAGTGTGTCTGACATACAGGATGCCTAAACATTAACTGTTAATCAGAATACCACATTGGTCGGATGTCACATCCTGACAATGTCTTATCCTCATCCTATTCTCCTGGATGCTGTCTGATCCTACTACCTTGCATCCTGAAAACATCTGATCCCCTCTGTCACGAATGTGGCTTAGTGAGGAAATGGTTTTCATATAACTCATAATTATGAGTCATAGGTATGATAGTGTTTCATACATATGACTCATTTGAGTCGTATAACTTGTTACATTAGGATTTGTTAGGTATTACACATGACTTGATTATAAGTTATAGAATGTGTGCCTGGCGAGTATGCCTTGCAAGTATGCCTTGAGGGTATGCCTTGAGCATATGATTTATATTTGGCACATGACCTTGTTATGAGGTTATAGGTTTTGCACATGTGATCACTTCTGGTTATATGACTTGTTTATTGCGTTATGATTGGTTTATGAGTTTTGGCACATGACCTTGCTATGAGGTCATGGGATTTGAGCATGTGACCACTTTGGTCATATGATTAGTTTGTTATGATTTGGTTTTGCGTATGTGACCACTTTGGGTTATATGACTTGAGGCGGGAAGAGCACTATACAAGGAGGCCGGTACAGCTGAGGAGAATAGGTTCTTCACGCTTTGTTCTAAGTGCTTTTCCTACTCCTGCTTTCGCTCTGCCTCGGTAGTATTCCTTTCGCACCCACGATGTTCTTTGATGCCTTGGATTCTGGGGAAGATATCTGAGTTCACTCACTAGTTCCTGGGGTTCTTAGTGTTGAGTTCTGTTTGCATTATGTGGCGGATTACTTGTTTGCACTGTTTCGTTACTTGCTGGTTATCTCACAATGCTGGCACTTTGAGCACTTCAACATGGTCACTTATGAGTCTCTTTCAGTAAAATATCTATGGCTTCCTGTCAATCGTCTACTGGCAGGTTTCGCATTTGATTGGGGAGATGGAACATTGTGTTTGGGGAGATCATCCGTGTTGTTTTTTTAGGCCAGCTCATATTTGTTGGGTTAATGGAGTCCTTAGTTCTCACAATACATAATGCCCTTGGGATAGACTGATGACCTTCCCAAGCTTTAATGGTCCTAGGAATGATAGAAAGAAGCTTGACAAAACTGAAAAACTAGAGGTACTTCTTCTACGAACTATTCAAGTCACAATTTAATTTTGATGTGTTGTCCTAGAGGTTTCTACTGGCCTATCTTGCCTATGCCGGTGCCTGCGGACCCGGTCGTGTTCACAAACGTCATGCGTTTGCGAGTACACTAGTCCCACGCCCGATCTTCTAATTTCAAACCGGCCACTAGGGTAAATTACTGCCTACTCGAGTATGTCTCATCCCAACATTACTCCCGAAACGACTTAGCCCCCGATGCGATTTTATGAGTCTGGAAATCCATAGTAACGTCCCCACACAACGGAAGCCTAGGTCCTCTTTGATAGACTAATCCAAATGCCAGCCTACCAATATCCCAGAATCATTCTAAATTGACATCGATGATTACCTATTCCCCTATCACGCTTTGTTTTGTCAATCAGTTCTTGTCTATCGGGCGAATTTAACTCTACTCCCCTTTGATGCAGAGTTTTTATAAAGACACAGCTCAATGTTTTACAGGTAGATAGTACGTACAGTACAACGCATGGAACAGACTACAAAACCTATGAGCTGTACCTCCGTGTCTACCGTATTCCAAGCACTGACCTAAAGTCGATGACAGACTGCGCAGTGAGTACCACAATACTCGATCTCCGAAGTCTGAGATCCTAAGGTCTTGCAGGTCGAAAGAGGCAATTGGAACGAGGTTTCCACGGGCATGCAGGCCTTGTATATCAGTGGTGTGAAACTCGTATGGCATGTTGTTATGGTTTTCAAAGCTCCCTATTAGAGGACAGATAGTGGAACCTTCGCGCCGCGACTACGCAATCCGAGTCCTAATAAAGGGTTAAAAGACTTTTGGGTGAGCATGCCAACCAATATCCCTTGGTCTGAAACAGTTAAAAATCGTCCCTAGCATGCTATCTTACCAGTACGGCACATGGTACCCTTACCCTCCACCCCATCATTGAGGTCCGATGTCCCCAATATGATACACGGCATATACCGGTAACTATAGTCTCCGGCCACGAAACCGATCCCCAAGTGGCAAACAAAGGTGTACCTTCCGGGTCACACAGCAAGAACCAGCTCGAGAAAGCAGACAGGAATTAAAGACCTCCCATTTGTGAAGAGAGTGCACCGTGCACATGTTGTACAGTACCGGGAACTTCGAACCCCCCCCGTTTGCCTTCCGGGTGCCTCGAGCTCCGCTGGGGACAATTAATAGTCGGAACACCTTCGTGCCGTGCTTGCGGTACTGCAACTTCAACAGGCGTTCCCCGGGGCTGGGCGTTCCACGCCACCTCGCGCATACTTATATGGTTTTCTGATAAGATCTCGGATGATGGTGGTGGTGGTATACAGTACTATACCCCACCCTTGGGCCAACCTGCAAGTTTCGCTGGCCCACCCGAGGACCTAGAGCTCCGGCTTGTATTGGTACAGCACAGTATTTTATATGGACGCGGGAGACCGGTTGGCCATAGGAAATAAAAGAATGAGCTTGGCACAGAAACCGCCCAAACAAGCAAGAAGCTTTGACATCTCTCATCCCCGGTCGCCGGTCACCCACGCCCATACTGTACCAGAATACGGTATATACCGTACCGGTATCGCCCCCGAGCACCTCTGGAGAGTTCTGTCTGGGCCACCAGTAGTCGGGACGTTCCCATCCGAGCACCGTGGCATAGCATACGTGATGGGATACCGTAGACAAGGGTTCAAGATATCCAAGTTTCTTAACCTTCCTGCGGGGTCACTGGTAAAGCTCTGTTCAGCACGTACCAATAAAAATATTTTGCGACATTTTTCATATAATATTTCCTAATACCCCAAGCAAGCTAACTCCAAAGCAGGATAAATACCGGTATTACCGGTACACCCGAGTACGATACGGTGCCGTAGTCAGATAGCAGAGATCCCTCCACTCATTCTGTCTGGGGAATAAAGTGACACAAGAGCCCACGGGTGGAGCAGCGAGGAAAATAGGAATGCTGCGAAATATTTCACAATATCACACAGTTTTCCTTGCTCCACGATGTATAAACCTCCTGCTGCTTTTTCCTTTCCACAAACTTAGTGGAGAAGTGCTTGTTATCTTACTATCTTAATTTTTTCTTTAGGGCTGGTTTACTTTGCCAGTACAAAAATATGCTGTTTTCAAAAATATTCCGATACCAGCGTGGGAGGTTTGATGCGCCTCTCCTTAGTTGGATGGTGTTTTAACTGAGCTGCACCTTGTGGGAAGAATTGCCCTGTGACCTGACTAATATACTGATGGACAGAGGAAGGAAAGTTGACTTGGATCCAGATGCAGTAAATAGACTGACATATATGTAGCAAAAGGGATGAAGCCGAATCTGATATAGATGGGGATTGACATGATCTAAATCATTGTTGACATGGGATGGTTGAGCCTGTCTAAACTAAGAAGGAAGGCTCCTGGCTTAAAAATACAGGAAATTCTGCATGCCAAGGCATACACAAAGACAGGAAATTCCATGGGGTAAAAACCTCATGGCTCTCAGACAATACTCCAGCTCAGTTCTTACTCCACACCTGTATATTTTATTGGTACCATACGGGCCGAACGGAGCCTAAAAGTTCCGTAGCTAGGCTTCGAGTAAACTCCCCACCCATATTCAATTTGCTATCTCTATACTACTTGAGTAAGCTCGAACATCACGAATTCTAATTGCGGTAGTATTAATCACTTTGACAGGATATGTTTTTTTACTTTGGCCCATCCTTTCCGTCCCTAGATACAGTATGCACATTAGATAAAAATTGCTACATTACTCGCCAATTGCACACGTACTGCCACACATTCCCACTGCCCCCCCCCGCCCCACTCCTCTCCCTCATCCCTCCCTCCCTCCCACTCATTCACAGCCTAAGCTACTATTATACTCAAACAAAATACCCGTTTTCCCATTTCAACACACAACACTATAACTGTCCGGGCTGCCCATTCCATCCCTCGGGTTCTCGACCCCCCACCCCTACCTTCTTCTCAACACCAGGCTCTTGCTTTTCTCTATCATGGAAGCGCAAGAAATACCCTAGGGAAAATAGGGAAAGAAGGAAGGGAGATGAGAAAGGAGGTTGGGGCAACAAGGTAAAAGTTATGGTGACATGAGGAAATGAATGAGAATAAGAAGAAAAAAATAGACACCAGCCCAAGCAATCCGGGGAATACAAAAAAACTTTCGAAAAAAGAGAAACACAATCCCGGTTCGCGCTAAAAATTGTTCCATCCCATCACTTATTTCCATCCAGCTAATCCGGCCCAAGGGTCTTGCTGCTGCTGCTGCTGCTGCTGCTGCTGCTGTCCTTGCGGGGCTGGATATTGGTGATATCCCTGGGGTGGTTGGCCTGGGGTTGGTGGATGCGGAGGTTGCTGATAGGAGGTCTGGGGTAACACCCCGAAACTCTGTCTATTACTTAAGCTCGGTTGGGGGGGCGGTCCTGGAGGAGGGGGTGGCGGTATGTACGTTGAAGGGTTATACTGTTGCGGATAGCCTGGAACTTGCCCCGCATACATATTCGGTGGGGAAGAGTAGTGGCTTGGCTGATATGGTTGGTGCTGCTGCTGTTGGCCTGTTGGCGGAGGTGAAGATGGAAGAGTTTGATGGGATTCCCGACGTTGCATGTTAGCCGACTGATAGCTGTCTCTCCTTGGTATAGACCCCCCTTGTTGTATCTGGCCGTAAGAATCCCGTCGCCCGTACCCATTCGTACTATTCGCAGTAGGGTACTGTGAGTAGCCGGCGAACCCAGAAGATGCAGGCGGTGGAGGTGGTGGGGGCGGCGTAGGAGTGGGATGGTAGCCGCTGTACTGATGGGGGGTATATCTGGGCGTGCCCGGGGGGCTCTGGCCATGATTTGGCGTTGCTGATGACTGGCTCTGATGAGTATTTACGTTCGATAAGGGTGCTGGTCGCTTCTGCTGCACTTTGCTCGCATCTCCTGGATTAAGAGAAACCCTCTCCATCATTCCCAGGAGTTTTCCACACTGATTATCTGCCTCAGATCCTCCCCGTTTCTCTATATGATTTAGCAAAGAAGCACCTTCGACCCGCCGGTTTGATACGAATGTCAACACGTTTTTCTCCAGGCTCTCGGCTGTTTCAGTCATCTCTGTGTAGAATTGCTGAGCTTTCTCCAAGCCTGCCCATATATCCAAAAACGCCTGATAGGTTTTCTTGAATTTTCCCAACACTGCATTTCTTTGGCGTGATAGGGCTTCATACTTGGACTGCTCCGCACGAATTCGTTTGTCTTGCAAAAGATCACCATAAGCTGATGTCAAGTCCTTCATCAATGACGACTGTTTGTGCGCAGCTGTGAGCAACCTGTTTGTATGTGGGCGGAACTTCTCCAATTCTGTCGCAAACAATTGGGGCTCGAGATTTTGAATTGATTTTTGATTGAGGATCAAAACATTCGAAATATCGTCGGTATGAACCTAGTCAAGAGTTTCAGTAAATCACCTCAGTCAAAACAACCATTGAACTTGGGGCATGATGCAGCCCCGGAGGTAGGAATAAGCCTTACCCTTTCTTTCAAATCCTTCAAGACTTGGGCCCGCTCTCGTTTGATCAGATTGAGCTTCTTAAGCAGTCCCTCTACTCTCTCGATCTGTTCCAAAACGGTAACTCCAGAGTCCCCTTCGTCAACATCTAGAAGGGTCTCTCCACCCCGATCTCCACCAAAGCCACCATTGGCAACACCAGCCTTACTAACCCATAAGCCGTCAACAGCTCCTTCCTCAGCTCTCTCGCCCGCATTCTTCATTTCCTCTATCTCTCCCTCGACCCCTCGGTACTGGGAAAAAAGCAGATTGTCGCTGTTCACAGCTTCATCAATAGCCTCTCGATAGCTCCTAATATCCGCTCGGAGAGTCTGTGTGAGTCGACTTGAAGGTTGCTGCGTCCAGTCATCTAGATATTTCGTCCTCATTTTTTCACACACGCTCTCCTCAGTATCCAGACTCTTTGAAGATCGATCCAGGATCTCCACAATCCTCTTTTTATCCTTCTTTAAACCGATAAACCTCTCCCCCAAAGTTTCGGGTTTGTGTGCGATATCATCACACCATGTCCGGAACTCGTCGTCCACCTCAATCTCATTCTCAAAGCCATTTTTAAGCAGCTTTAGCGATCCGGGTAGCTTCAAGTAGTCCAAGGCCGCAACCATTTCTGCATTTGCTAAGTCCGCCCGCTCTGTCTCCGCGCGGACCAGCTTAGCCTTCTCCTCGTCGTATAAAGATGCGCTCTCGGTGACTTTCATAGGCACAATCTTCTGGAAGATATCGGGGCCAATGATACGGTTAATATCATCTCCTTGGTATAGCTCCTGTACAGGAATTGCCCTTGCCGCTACCGTTTTTGGAACCACGGGAATTGCTGCTTCGGCTGGGACCGTCTGATGGTAGATAAAATCGTTCTCCTTAATCAAAGTAACGAGTTTTTCCTGGACAAGAGCTAGGTGTCTTTTATTAATTTGGACTAGAGCAGGACCAGTTTCTGAGGACAAATTAGAGGTAGCTGGAGGAGAATTAGGGAACGACTGTGATGTTCGAAGCGATTCCTTGGCCAAATCTTCAGCCAAATGCAGGCGAGCAATCGCAAGTCCGTATTTACCACCTTCACTATCCGCTAGTGCTTGGAGATACTGAGCTAATGAATCCATGAAATTTTGTTTAACCTGCCGCATGAATAGGTTAGCCTGGCTCAATTCAGTTAGGCACAGCAACCATACCTGGCATAGCAATAGCCAGACTCGCTCGAAGATGCCCTTCTGGACATTCTCCTGGACACCTTCGACAGCCTGGGCGTACAAAAATCCAGCTTGGGCAGCCAGTTTCGCAAGCATCCCACTCTTCTTTCCGTCCGCTATTAGTTTCTCTAGAAACACCTCTTGGGCTTGTGCAAGCATGATGTTAATCAATGTCTTCACCGTATCCCTACTCAAATCTGTGGATGGCGCATGCAGAAAGTTCTCATTTATATAAGTAAACATTCCTGCCGCGGCCTGGAAAGAGTTGAAAGCAGTCTTGATCCCGAGTTCTTCGGAGCGGTTTTGATTTGCCGCGTGGCACGAATGGACAGCCGAAATGTTGAAGATGATTGAAGCTTTCTCAAAAGCAAGGGAGTATTGGGAGGTCGGTTTATGCGTGAAGGCATCGTACCTACAATGAGCCACCAATCTGTTAGCCTTGATATTAACATCCTCTTGACAGCTATGCCCTTAAACATGTGTCCAGATCTACGTAGTTCGTGGAATGGGAAATCATAGCCTTTCAGCCGCATCGGTTACCCCATTCCACGCTCTCCGCAGTGAATTCCGTACCAACAAAAATTCTGCTCCGAATCCCACGCAGTCCAGAGGAAGAGGACAGACGCTCACGGCAAATACAATTTCAAGGAGACACAATTGCTTCACTCACCATGTAAACCCAACTCTAACACCTCGCTCCTCAACGGGAAACCTCAGGTCCAGTAACTCCAGCTGTCCGTAGTACCGATAAAGCAGATCTCTGCCGGATGTTGAATCCTTCCCTGCTCCGCGCATATCCTGACGTAGCCTGTTTAGAGTAGCACATTCTTCGCTGTACTTTTCTGGGTCTCCGTAGGTTGCTCGAATGTAGGATTTCAGAGGAGTAATCCAATCGACTTCTGTCGTTGTCTGTGCGGAGCAACCGTCTTTAGCGGAGAATATAACGGAAGAGCCAAGATGATGACGACGGCGAACACAGGCACTCTGACTGAGAGAAGGGGGGGGGAAAAAAATGCGAGAAACAGATAACAGGTACCGGTACGAGTATAATATGATATGAAATCGCCGATCGAAAAAGGGAGGAACAAATAACGGGACGAAGCAAAATAAAGGAGCAAAAAGATAAATACCTTCAGAGGGCAGCTAATTGTCGGAGACTGCTGCATGATCTCCGTGATTTCCTAAGTATCCCCTTGCTTGCGTTGACTTGCCCCGTAACTTCTTAGAAATCTTCCAACAGTTGTTGTGTGCTGCCGTCCAAGTGTGGAGCGTGGTGTGATGCGAGGACAGTGGTGGAGGTGAGATATAATTATCGCACGCTTTTCTTTTCTCGACTAACCCAGCCTCGAGATGTGGGGGATTAAGAAAAAATAAAGAGACAGATTTGAACGAGAGTGTTGGGTTGTTGTTGGTTGCGTTGTGGTGCAAGAGGTATATAGCAAGCAGCAGAGTTTATTTTCGTCTCCCCGCAGCCCCGGATGACGAACGAGACAAACCTATTCGCCCCTGCAGACTGATGAAGCCTTCCACCGACTTCCTTCTTCTCCCCCTTCTTCTCTACCACAACGCAATGCGCTTTCTCACCGCCTTCCACGTCTTCTCCTCTCCTGCCTCTCGCGTGTTGTCTTCTCTACAGCTGATTACAGCTGATGCACCTCCTAGCGGGGAGGATGGGGGTGGAAAGGTAAGGGATGGGAAAGGAGAAAAAGATGGGAAGGGGGTCCGATCCAAGCGAACGGTTGGTGGGAGGGAGCACAACAGAAACGGCTATGTAATGTATGTAGGTATATGGATGGATGGATGAGCAGATTGACAGGATTGATGGAGTGGAATCTATGAATAGAAGGCAATGTGGCCTTGGTGGGCTCGCAGCGGCAGCAAATGCGAGAGAAAGGAAAAGGGAAAGGGAGACGGATGGGAAAGAATGGTAAAAGGGAAGAACGGCAGCTTGTGGAGAACAGTCGAACAATTCAGCACCGATACACCACCCATACACAACCACACAAAACGTAGCAAGCGGTAAAGCGGAGCAAGGCACGCACCACCGTCGCCTACCACCACCACCCTTTGACTTCTCACACGCAACCCACAACTACCACGCACACCGCTCATACACACCCAAAATTACTCGTAGTACTAGTGGACCGGCACCCGAAAACTATATCTTTGTCAGGATGTCCCCAAATGAGTAACGGCAAAGCTTGGGAGAGCGCAGATCAGGCGCTGCACAGTGAGGGCTTCCGTTAGATGAAGAAGCGGCCACGGGGCGGGCGGGGGCAACGGACGAACGAATGGCCAAACGGTGGGGAAGAGAGGGATGGTTGATATCAGGGAAAGGGTTAAGGGGTGGATGGGATCACTACTCGAGTACTCCTCTCTCCCGCTTTTCTTGCCTGTGGCTGGCTTTTTTTTTTTTCCCCCCTAAAAACTCTCGCAGGCCTCTATGTTCTCCAGGAGAGAAACGGTTCACTTTCTCAATTAAACCTTTATCAGTACTGTATTCTACTAAGGTAGAGGGTACCCTCCGATGATCAGCGGGAATAGGAAGGAAGGGCTTGGTTCGCTGAGAGCTCGTCTGTTGGTTGGTCGGAGGGTCCTCTGTTGGTTGGACTTGTGTGTGCTTGGTTTTCGCTCAATGGGGGAGTGCGAGTGGGATTCCTCCTCTTGGCTCGCCTGCGCTTCACCGAATAGGCTGTTTGACGTCGGCAAAGCTGAGACGTCGAGCCATGCGACCATCGAAACGGGTAACGCCCCCGACCGTTTTATTGCGCAACACACTCAAAGGGACAAGCTCCCCTACCTTATCGATAAACAATCCTACCACCACCGAGTACGAGTACGGTACTGGTAGGTTAGTAGTGCTCTTACTCCTCCTATTGGCACCCTTCCTATTCTATATATCCCCACAATCGGATATCCGATAATCACCCCTTCATCTGATTCACTCAGCTGCGGGGCCCGGGAAGATACAGTACCTTATTGCAAGTAAAGTCCTGTATCATAAGCATCCCACCACCACACGACGTGTATCTCACAGCACAGATTGAGAGTGTGAGAAGGATTAGATTGGATAGCCCCTCGTTTTATCCGCCACGTCCTATGTCAAATTGAAACATCTTGCTGTACGGTGCTAGCACACAAAACCCTTTTCTTCCGATTTTCCCTCCTATCACCGGTTCCGCGCACAGCCACCACCACCACCATATCCTTTGGACATATGATGCTTGTAGTACGGCAGTTTTGTAGCCCCCGCATTGCACCCTCCCTACCACTGATATCTGGACTAAAGTGGGCATCACTTGCAACCAAGCCCAAAAGCAGGTTGCGCAACTGTACCAAAATTCCCATAGAGTATCAAGCCATCATTCAAGTCTTTCCCCCCCTCCCTTCCCCCTATTAAAATATAGGACCTACTGTTCAGCCCGCCCCGCAGTTGCCGCTTAGGCAAAAAGCCCTTGAAGGATTCAGGGCCACATTTTCTTCCGAAAACTAGGGAACTATCCAAGCATCAGAAAAAGAGAGAAAATGAAGGAAAGGGAAAGACGATCAGGATTGCATTAATCCTTTTTAGGCATGTAGTCGGCAGGCTTCCCCTGCAGTAGATAACACATCCAATCTCTTGCTTTGCCCGCTTCCGCACCAAAATATGTGAACTGTAAGCGCGCTCTCCCAACCCAAGAAAATCCAACACAGTATCATACTTGTCATAAAAGTATCGGAGCCCATACGGCAGCTGCAATGGGCAATAACCCGCTAGTCTACTGCAAGAGTAACTGCAATGTTATCGCAGCAATCCAGCCTAAAGAAAGCTCGGCACTTCAATCTGCCAAAGTTCGCGCTCCACCACAATGTTTATCACAAATAAAAAAAAATTCCCCTAGGAAGGTTAAGGGAAGGTTTTGGTCCGAAATCCGCCCCAAATGCGTACGGCGCACAGCGCACACCCCCCACACGCATCATATAAAAGCACTCGTCAAAGCGGTGTATGCGCGCGCGCCCCCCAGCGCCTAATCAGAACCCGGAACGATCTCGGGTATCTGTACCAGTGTTTTGACAAGTGCCGAGCAGGAAGACCAAACGAACTTATTTGTTCTTCTGTCCTGCAACCCGCTCACCCCCGCTTCCCCCTCCCCAGTCTTCTGCAGCTGGGGGGGGCACCCACACACTCCGGCAAAGGATAATTCCCTTTCCATTTCCCTTTCCTTCTTTCTTTCTTTTTCTTTTTTTTTTTGAAGTGGAGGGATTTTATGAATTTCGACCCAGGTTATTCTAACCTTACGCCGGTAGTTCTATCCTGACCAGAGGTGAAGGGCTAGCATTCAATTGGCCGACGTAAGGTATGGGGTGGGGTTTTAATAATAATCTTTAGAGTGCTTGCATAAGGATTGAAAATGAGGAAGATACAGCACGATAACGATATCGCTGAAAATGGTTGGATTTGATATCGGGTGAGGAGTTGAGTGTGGAAATCCCATGCTAAGGAATTCCCCACTTTGTCCACTACCGATATTGTACTCGTACAGCATATGTGATCAGCACAAGCGAGAAAGCCACAACATCCAAACGTCCAGACCGCTGAGTCCACCCGGTGCTTTGAGCTCAAAACTGAAGCCTTCTGCTCGAATAATCAAGGCGAGTAAGAACGAATGAAGCATAGAATAGCGATTTGACTGGGATGTTCAAAAATGTGGCTTGTCCCTCTCAAGGACTAGCCATGGTTTCCTCAGAATGGTTGTCTGAGTTGTCCCGACCCCGGAGGATCTACTGGTACCGTATGCTGGTAACTGAATTTTCTACTTTAAGAAATTATGCAGAATTCAAGTCAACGAGTGTTGACAGTCCTTGAAATCAGCACTTCAGGGCAACCCCAAAGCTACCGCCGTACCATTTGCGCCCAGCTTGGTTTTGCTGGGGGGGTAGTTCCGCTTGGACTATGCCCGCAAATTGTCTGATACAAGTGATCGATAACCCCAGAGAGCTTGCCCGCGATCCGCAAATACCCGGCTCTCTGGAATAGGGCATCCGGACTCGACAGCGATATAATATAGGACGTATCGAGTGACACTACGTGATCCACGAAGGATGAAACCAAATATATCATACCATGGAATTTCCCAAACCACAAACCGAGAGCTATCGAACAAGCGGTGAAAGGTCCGAGATGAAGTGAGGAGTATGAGAGATAGCGGTCTCCATGCAAGATAATATATATCCCGAGAGTGGGCCAAACACGTTAGATATATCCACATCTGTGAAGCGACAACTCCTGCTGACGACTCTCCAGAGAAATCGACGCTTTAACGGCCTGATAACTGCGGTTGCGTAGCTGTTCAGAGAGCTAGTGGCGTAGCGCTACAGGTGGAGTACACACTCATCTTGTAAACAGACAAGATATAGTAGTGCGAGAAAGCTTCTAGCCAAGGGAGTTTTCTAAGCTCCAAGCCAATATATTGCGTAACAGTAGCGAGGGTAGAAGGAAATATATAGTGCGCCATGGAAATGAGCGAGGTACGGACCATAAACCTGCTTGGGCACTAGAAACTACGCTATACCTATCCCAAGCGGACTTCAATCATAGGATATTCAAGACCCACTCAGTCTCATAGAAAACCGTTCTAACGAAAAAAGAAAGGAGCCACCATTGAGGAATATTTATATACAAGCCACGCTTTGTCCTGCGTAATCATGTGCGAAGCCTCGAAATGTTTAAGGAAACGATGAAAGGAAAAAGAAAAAGAAAAAAAGAGAGAACCCCTATCAATTTGGTAGTATTATCCTATCAAATAATGGATCATCATACCTAGCTAACCAGGCACAAGCAGACTAGTCCCCCGTAAAATATGCCCAGGGGGAAAACTGCCAAGCCGACCCTATTCCTTACGACACCACTGCCGCCTAGGATACTAACCCCAGCGGCAAGGGACCACAGGTACAAGGCAGCGTATACGGGAACACGGGCGATAGCCGGGATATGTAGAGCTGAGAGAAGAGCACAAATGACGACGGGGAACAACGTATATCCGATAACAGAAACCGACTGGAAGAAAGAACTGCAAGTCTGAATTAGCAATGGCGACCCGAAACTCAACATATACAAGAAAGCCCACATATTCCCCCCAAGCAACTTAATCTGCGCCGTAACCACCGCCTCCCCAATCCAAACCATAGAGAAAACCCCAGCAAACACTTGCGTAGTCTGCGAATCGCTCGCCGAAAAACTCAACAGCGTACTGAGAGCCAAGCAGAATACTAATGGGCCCCAAAGGTCCCAATCCCCAATAACTGCAGCCCCTCTGCCCCCACCGTTGCCGAAGCCGCCGCCGGACTCTAGAACGTCGTTTGCGTCGGGCCACTTCTTAAAAGTGAACTTCGGCCATAGGACCGCTTTCATCTTCTCCCAGACGGCAAAGACATCGCGGGAAAGCGTGTCCCAGATTGATTCGTCCAAGGTGTTGTTTGGCGCACGGCGGTCTTCGCCGGGAATGGCGGAGGTGAGGTGTGTGGGATTTAGCGGGGTGGTAGCGGAGGTTGCTTCGAGCGGGTCGTCATCATCGACGTTGACTATCAGGGGGAGCTAGGTTAGTTATTCGAGCTTCTCCGTGAATGTATGTGGAGGGGCGGAAGGAGCTCACGATCATCCGGGTCGATGACATCTTCGATCCTGCTAGACTCATAGTTATCATAGGGGTTTATGTTAGAGCTCGAAGCCATGATGCTATTCCTTTTAGCTAAAGGTCTGGTAGTTATTTCCAGATACCGGTTATCACCAAGCAACCTCTCACGATGGCGATATTGACTGGTTGGCTGGTTGCGGAAGCTGTTTGGAACCGGCCTGAAGGTGTTGAAAGTTGAAACCTTCGCTCCTGATGAGGCTGACGTTGCCCTTTCCCTCCTTGTGGAAAAAACCTAACCCTCGATATTCTATCGTTACACAGGGTTAAATTCACATTTCTCGGTCAATTTTCCAATTCAACCCCACCAACAACAATAATCATCAACCAATCCAAAACCATGCTTTCAAGAGCAATCTTAAGATCTATACGGGTGCCAGTATTGAGGGTTTACTCGACGGCCCAGCCACCCTCTTTAATACTGAAATTGAGGTATATTCTATCATTCACCGCTTCTTTTGTTCACCCGGAAGGGTTCTCACTAGGTCATTCCACAGAAACGATCTCAAGGATGCTATGCGAAACAAAGATACCAATAGGCTTAATGTTATTCGAGTAATTCTCTTATCCGTCCAAGTGTTTACTCCAATGATACTGACTACACTCCAGGGAATTCTTTCAGACATAAGTAATGCCTCCAAGACAACCAACCCTCCTTCAACAGACCTCGACATCCTTGCTCTGATTAACGAGACAAAGACAAAGTCCGCAGCTTCCATCGCCGAATTTCGTGAAGCAGGGAGAGAAGACTTGGTCGAAAAGGAGACTGGACAGGTTACTATCTTGGATATATATGCTGGGATGGTTCAGAGAGTAGGGAAAGAGGAGATCACGGCTGTAGTAAATGGGGTTATCAGGGCTGCGAAGGAAGCTGGGGAAAAGGTTGATATCGGCAATGTCATCAAGAAGGCCCTTGCCGAGCTGGCTGGAAAGCCGTTAGTGAAAGCTGAGGTTGTGGCGATTGCTAAAGAAGCAATCAAAACTGCCTAGGTGCTGATAGGCATGCAGGTCAAGTATATTGCGCCAAAACCCCAAATGTGTTGGGCCTACTGGTGAAAGTTGGCTGATATAGTGATAGGGCTATGATAGAGGGAGGCACAATCAGAGAACAGTTTCCCGTCTAAATTCCTGAACTCTGCGCCCATGTGATTGGACAAAGTACTGTATAATTTACAAGACACCTTGCGCATATCAGGTATAGGATTTATTGTGTATTACCATCTCCCCTAGCCCATGCAACTTATATCATATCTCTATTCAAGCCTAGATGTATCATACAGAAAGTTCTCAAAGCCAGAATGAAGAGAAAAGGAAACGAAACCTAAAATCTACGCTTCCAATAGTAGGACCCGTGGTCATCTGATCTCAGATGCTTCATATCTACACCCACCCATCGCGATTACCAAATACAGATATGCCGGAACAGGCCCCACCAGCCATTCCGAAAGGTCGCAAAGAACACACCATTCAACCTATCACGCAACCAGCTCTCTATCAATTAATCGATCGAGCACTACCAACCTCCCCACCCCCAACCTTCTCCATCCTCTCAAACAAATCCACCAAATGCCCTGTCCGGATGACCAACTCCTCATACCTAACAAGAAACACAGTAGCACATTCAACCTCCCCAACCTCCTCCCCTTCTTCCATAAACCCAAACCCACTCTCGGCAACCTTCATACGAAGCCCTACATTCCGCAATTCATCCAACCAGAAGACCTCCGTTCCCCCTGGTGCCCTGGAAGCAGCGCACAACCAGGACCTGCGAATCCGGAAGAAGCTTTCTTTTCCCAGGATTTGCACCCCGCGAGTGAGCGTCGACCCCTGAGGACTTGATTTAACCAGTATGGAGGAGACGTACACTTGCGTGAAGTACTCTGATGCATCGAAGGCAAGGCTAGCAGTTACGAACGGGAGACTTGGGAGCACTTCCGGCCTACTACCGCCACCAGCCTTGGGAAGGTCGTTGATTCGTAGTGGTGAAGGCAGCTGTAGCTGAGCCTGGGAATGTTTGGTTCCAGAGGGGAGGGGGCGGAAGTGTGCGTATAGGTCCCCAACATTTGTTGGGGCGGTTTGGGATACGATGACATAGGAGCCTTTGTACCAGCAGTTATGATACGGCGCGTGAAGCTGTGATTCATGCCGTATTAGCCATCGTTCTTCCGCTCTGGCGAGAGGGAGAGAGCATACCCGATTGCTCGGCGAAGAACACTGAAACATCAAGTCATGCCCCTTCAAAACCTCCACACCCCGAAACCTCTTCCGGGCAATGAACTCGGCGGAGTTGCAAATCCTCTTCGAAACCCTACCAATCCGCAACAAAACCCTAGTAGGAAGATACGAAAGTATACCCTCCAAAAGCTCCACAGGGAGCGAACTCAAGCCCACTGCCGCAGACATATCGAACCAAAATACTAGTACGGTAGTCAAGTACCGGTAGTAGAGTAGTAGAATAAACCGTACAAATCTTAGATACAAAAGCTCACAATCAACGAGCCCTCCCCTCCTCTGGAGAACATTTATACTGCACCCCCCTTGACCCTCGGAACGGGGCTGCGGGTGCGTAGCGTAGCGGTAGTGGTGGTTGGTTGTTCGGAGCGGCGAAGACCATCCTACCGTATTGTGCCGGTATAATAATATATTATGCACCAGTTATTTCGGCGGGGGCACAAAGTAAACAAGCAAGATGCCAGCCAATCGGTTACCGGTAGCTAGAACAAATTACAGTATGTACGACACGATAATATTATTATGGTATTCCAGGAGGCTATCAATTTCTTTCTTTTTTTTCTTACTACGGAGTATTTTTTCCCCTTCTTTGTCCCGTGTTTTGGTCCATTGTAATAGCTACTGTAGCACCAAAGGGCGAAAAGATTCAGATACTCTATCTAGTACCAGTAGTAGTAATAAATACGAATGAACGAATTAGCTTGTGCTAACCCCAGTAAAGCAAGGAAATGTTTAATTGTTCCGTCCCTTCTTTCTCACTCTTCTACCCACCCAACTTTCAACTTCCAGGCTAGAGCAATACCGTAGGGTGCTAAACTACGATAGATATCACAGGTCGTGATACCGGTACTGTACAGTACCTTATCATACACCGCACAACCCAGTTGCCCTGCTGCTGTCAGTGCAACAATGCCTCTCCGTCTGATGTCAACAAAAGGCCAAAGCCACCACCACCAACGAGAAGTTACAGTAACTTATGATTTTAAAAAAAGAATGGCGAATCAAATGCCCTGACTAAACAAGCCCGACGGTCGAATTGAGCTGGAAGTTTTACCTCATCTCGTCCCATTTCTATTTTCGCTCCTACTGTATCCCCCCACTTGTGAGCGGCTGAAGAATACGGTCAGGCCAGGTGGAGAGCACGAGTTAGGGTATTGAATCCTGTCTGGGGATTTTCGGGAGTGGGATGGATAACTGGTAAGCACAGCAAGGAAGTTTTTTTTTTCGTCAAGCTTTGGGACAATACGAGAATAGGACCGGGTGTTGAAGGAGTGGGTTCGAGTTAGTTTGATGCATCTCGGGTTGTGTTTACCCAGCGGGCCTGGTGTGGCGGTGGTGGCAATGGTGGTGCTTGTAACCCCGGTTGCGTGTACAAGTGGTGTAAATCTCGGAATGAATCCCCGGTTCGTTCCTGCGGGTATTCCATCTCGGATTGTTTATTAGCACTTAGCCGTGGCTATGGTGTGGATATGGTATGGTATGATACTTTGAGGTGTGTCGTTGGGTGCTAGTTTGATGTGGTGTCGACATTCCTGAATCAGACTGCAGGGTGACTTGGGTATCATACTATGGTATCATAACTCAGTAATGGTTAGGGTTAAAGCTGGTTTACGGTCTGAAAAGGAACCCGGAGACATATCATAGGAGATGTCATGCATTGGATGCCTGTTTGGCACAGCTTAGTTCCACTCCTGAGGGTCGGGTGTGGGCGCGATTATATATTACCAAGTCAAGTATGATAAAAGGGGAGAGGGGGGGGAGACCCTCCATCACGGGTGATGGATATTGTTCCTAGAATAAGTGAGTGTTAAGGTAGGTGCACTATGAGGCTGGGAGTATCATGGCTGTATCCTGTTCTGGAAAACTTTTTTAAGTCCATAAGAGCCCGATGTACCATAATGTACGCTAATATCCCAGCAGAGACTAAGGGGTGGTGCAAGTTAGCCCCATGGGGGCCTCATACTATAACTGTATAACTCTAAACTCGCAAGTGAAGTCCCCCGGTGTAGGGAAAGACTTCGACTATACCAACTTGCCGGAGAGCAGAACCCCTCAATGGATTAATCATTCGAGTGATAACATATGATCTACAACCCCACCAAACCACCACATGGGGTCTTCCAGCCACAAAATTTGGGAACGTGGTAAGCTCATGCACGGTGCTCTGATAGCATATCTCCCACGGAAAGCTCCAATTTTGCCCCCTGGCGGCAATCGGTTTCGAAGCACTTTTTAGTCCATAGGGAGGCACCAGCCAACTAACAATCGAACACCTCCGGACCCTACTCTGGTGGAATTCTTCCAACTCCACCTGCACAGCACCCCCCCCCCAATTCTACCCCTCCCTAAAAAATCAACAGACGTCTACTAGGAGGCAAATTCGCGGCAACGGAATTTAACCCCTAGTGAATAAAACATCCGACTTGATGCGGAAGTTTAATTGCGGTGATTTTTTTGGCAAGCTCAATTCATACCCGCTTTCTCGGATTGCTCAGGTTAAACCCAGGGAGGAGGGCTCACCGACGGCACAGCGGGATGGTATTCGGGTTAACTTGGCCATTGAGGAACGATGCTCGGCGTGGTTGGAATTGCCTGTCTGCATGTTCGGGCCAATGACCGGACCGATGTTTATGTTTCTGATTTCCGGTGGCTATGGGGTTTGATGGCTTCAGGGCTTGGGTTCAATTCCTTTGGTGGGAGATTGTTCCATACCGATGGCTTTTTGGTAATGCTCGGCGTGCTCTTGCAGGGTATCGAGGCGTGCTCGTAGAGGTAAGCGTTGGTATAAGATGTCTGGTTCGTGGTCATCATACGATACAGCGCTGTCTTCAATAAAATAAAAAAGAGTTATCGTACAGTATTTAGGCCCTGTTTGGCACGCCACCATATAAAAAATGCCATCTTTCCCCAAAACCTAGTTCTTGCTAAAACTCGTGCCCCTTTGGTCTAAGAGGATATCATATAATATTATTATTATTATATAAAAATCAATACCCAGAGAGCAGCTGCCATCGTGCCCATTATGATCAAAACAGAGACCCGATAGGGCGCCTGTATATCGAGCCATAACTATAGCCAGAAAAGTGCATGTTAAAATTAAAATATCCCACCTGCAACAGAAATACCATATGATAAGAGTCAGAAAAATGGCATTGTTCCGGCGCACCAAACAGGGCTTTATATGTTTTCTTTATGCTAACCCTAACCCTTAGCTTCTTCTCACGGGAAATCCGGGGAAACACCCGTTAGTCTAATTTGGAGCCCCGGAACCCGCGTTGTGGCCAGTCAACGACTACCATAGCTTCCGGTCGAGCTCCCTCGAAAGCCACGACCCCTCTTCTCTGAAATCTCAGAGAACTGCTCCGTGAGGAAATCAATCTCCTATCATACTCTACGAGTAAAGAACCTCGGAATATACTTATTAAATAAACTATACCCGATCGAGCTCCAAGCGCGACGACCAAGATGTGATCGACTACATGCCCCCCATCGCCTTGATGACTTCCGGCGCCAAATTCATTCCTGGCATCCCGAAACTCGATACAGTACGGGCTATTGACGGGCAGTGCCAATCAACCGTGTCAGAGCCGACTCCTACGAGTTCTGCATGGAGTTTTATCATAGCTAGGGGGGGGGTGCCCAGGGTGGGTGTGTGATAAGGACAAGGCGGGGAGAGACTCCTACCTTATGGAGACTGAAAATTTGCCCGTTGGTAAGGCTACCGACCCGTTGCTACTGAGGAGGCTTATATGATATATCATATGATATCACACAAAGTTTGTTAGCTCTCCGTCCACAGTTGGGCAGGGGGTAAGGCTATCCTTCGGTATTTTTTCGACGAGGGCACGAGTGTTAATTTTTTAATAGGCCCCAAGACAAAAACTTCCACCGCCAGAAGAAGACTGACCTTTGTTCAGCCTACGAGCCCCGAACTTGCCCTGCTCTACAGGTAGGCTTATGTGATACCCCCATCTCATCCGGAAAGTGAAACACCCCCCAGGTGCAAAACTTCAGACCAAATGACGGCTACAACCCCCCCACGCCGATCCAACAATCGGCAAAAGGATCAGCTACAGGGGTGTTATCCCCCACGGGCTGGGCACCCGGAACATGGACGCTCACGCCGTCCTGAAGACTTTCTGAAATACCGGTAGCAATCCTACCGGGCTAAGGTTGTTCCACGCCATATTTGCCAGCGCTGTTATGCCCGATAACGAGCTCACCTTCGATATGTGGAAGGCCCAATAAGGAGGGTGACTTTGGCGAGACCATCTCTCTTGCCAGGGTTAACGAGGGACGAAGGGCTGTTTTGAGTATGATAATGGACGAGTAAACTTGGTGCTAGTACTAACATAAGTAAGCTTTAAGCGGATGCGAGAAGGCTCTCAGAGTAGTCTAAGCATGCAAAATTCCCAATTGCTACTGGGCGTGTAACCTGTCTGAATGTAATGCCACGATTCTTCTGAGGTCTTGTGTACCACTATTTGCGGATAGTGCTGGTGAAAATTTCTACACAACATTGTACCCACGTTTCCTGCTGAAACTCTATCTAAGTTTCGCACATTACGGAAACCTACCCGCCATCGTAAAATGGACTTTGATATATAAACAAATCAACGTAGTCCAATTTCGACAGGCCCTCATATCTCATACCACCAATCCAGTAAGAAAGCACGGTAACAAAACACAAGTACTAGTACAATTAGGAGGAACAAAATGAAACTTCACATGTCTCAACAATAGACTATCTGACTGCTCAAATCCACAATCTCCTTGACAATCTTCAGAATAACCATACCCCGAACCGGAAGTCTCTAAAACACTAGGCATTAGATGTAGCCCTATAAAGATACCGTCCCCTATAAAGCCACCGGAGTTAAGGTATCATACCTGAACCATTTCAGGGCCCTGCACCGCTAGTGGATGACAAATCCCCTAGCTGTGACTTAGTGCTGAGTATTACGCGCGGGTAGCGAAGACACTTTACCCTCATCCCGTCTGCTGGGCTGCAGGCTGGTTGCGTCGGTGGGAGGGCTATCGCATCTCGATGCACGAGCGAAGCGATACATAAGTAGGAAGCAAAAGTTCTAACACAACTTTCGCCTCAACATCCTTTTTTTTCTTTTCTTCTTCGTTTCTATCCATTTATCCATTCACCACCTCCGCCCTTCTCCTCTTCGCCTCCACTACCACGACAACTCTTCTACCCTCTCCTACGGTGCCTGCTTGTCGTCTCGATAACCTTCCACCCCACTATACGCTTCCTTTCCACCGGCGAAATCTTCGGGATTAAAGATAAACCATCTAATTTCGCCACATTTCCAACGTTTCCATTCTCCTTCCTTCGTGTACGAATCGAATTGCATTCAATACCGTTTTTTTTTCTTCTCTTTTTCTTCTTTTTGCAAGATGGCGTACGGCCGGAACTTACCTTGGAAGACGGCGCTGAGAATTTCAGAAAGGAGGGTACAGGTGCGCACGAGTGGATTACTACAGTTACCCAGGGCGAGATGTCATTTCTCTTCCTCCCCTGGGAATTTGACGCGGATTCGCACCGGATGGTCTTCGACTTCATTGGCTTTGGGACGAACTAGCTCTTTCCCTTCCACTACTACTACTACCGTCACCACCACGGACACAGCGCAGGCATTGAGGTTCGGGTATCATCGGAGACTATCTGTTTCTGCTCTACGGCTAAAGGGGAAGCCGCCGCCGAAGAACAATGGGAATACGGAGATTGAGGAGGTTGAGGAGGGGACCAAGAGGAAGGAGAAGAAGGATGAGCACAACAATGTCAAAGTGGATAATGGCAATGCGAGGTCCGGAGATAGTGCTCCCTTGTTGGGTGAGATACCGAAGGGTGAATCGGGTGGCACTAGTGGGCGTGGAAATGGAGGCAACGATAGTGGCTCCTCCGGCAGTGGCGGTGGACGGAGAAGAGGAGCCTCTGATAGAGCTCTTTCGAAACCTACAGTTCCGGATATCTACCCTCAAGTCATGGCTCTGCCTATTGCGAAACGGCCTCTATTTCCGGGGTTCTACAAGGCTGTAACTATTAGGGACCCGGCCGTTGCTGCAGCTATTCAGGAAATGATGAAGAGGGGACAGCCCTATATTGGGGCTTTCTTGTTCAAGGATGAGAATGTGGATCGGGACACGATTCAGAGCACAGACGAGGTCCACGAAGTTGGTGTTTTTGCCCAGATCACTAGTGCTTTCCCAATCCACGGCGAAGATGGCAGTTTAACAGCTGTCTTGTACCCCCATCGACGAATTAAGATCTCGAACCTTATACCTCAGGATAAATCCGAACCCAAGATCGAAGGGCCCAAGCCAATCGAGGAGATTGAGGACGAGAGCAATGAACAAGAGGACAAGGGGGATGTGGTCGCAAGCTTCGAAGAGGAGGTTGAGAAGAAACAACTAGCCCCAAATCCATACGCTACCTCATTCCTAAAGAAGCATAATGTTAGTATTGTTGATGTTGAGAATCTGGTCGAAGAGAGCTACGACAAAAAGAGCCCGGTAATCAGGGCTGTCACATCCGAGATTGTTAATGTTTTCAAGGAAGTTGCAAACCTTAACCCCCTCTTTAGGGATCAGATTTCCACCTTTTCAATGTCACAGTCCTCCGGTAACGTCATTGACGAGCCTGCAAAACTAGCAGATTTCGCTGCGGCAGTATCCGCCGGCGAGGTCAAGGAATTGCAAGAGGTTTTGGAAACCCTAGGCGTAGAGGAGAGGCTGCAGAAGTCACTTGTGGTTCTCAAGAAGGAGCTCATGAACGCACAGCTCCAGAGCAAGATCTCTAAGGATGTGGAGGCTAAGATCCAGAAACGGCAAAGAGAATACTGGCTCGTGGAGCAGATGAAAGGCATCCGGCGAGAACTTGGCATTGAGAGTGATGGGAAGGATAGGCTTATTGAGAAATTCAAGGAAAAGGCGGAAATGCTGGCTATGCCAGAGGCCGTTAAAAAAGTGTTCGAAGAGGTGCCGATCACTCGCTACTCTAATCCGTTTGAGCATGCATCCCTGACATTTGCCCGTTTAGGAACTTAATAAGTTAGCTCATCTCGAGACTGCGGCATCCGAATTCAACGTTACTAGAAACTACTTGGATTGGCTTACACAGATCCCCTGGGGCCAGAGATCTAACGAGAACTACAACATCAAGCATGCGATGACTGTACTAGATGAAGACCATTACGGGCTTGAAGACGTTAAAGACAGAATCTTGGAGTTCATTGCGGTTGGGAAATTAAGAGGCAGCGTTGAGGGGAAGATTATCTGCTTTGTTGGACCACCAGGTATCTCTATCCACGGCAACAAAATATTCACCTTCCCCCGTGCCTTGCTAGGGCTAACAACGTGAGAATAGGTGTTGGTAAAACATCAATCGGGAAATCCATCGCCAGAGCCTTGAATCGGCAATTCTACCGATTCAGCGTTGGTGGTCTCACTGATGTCGCCGAGATCAAAGGCCATCGTCGAACATATATTGGCGCCTTGCCGGGTCGCATTATCCAAGCTTTGAAGAAGTGTGAAACCGAGAACCCCTTAATTCTCATTGATGAAGGTAGACGAAACACCCCAAGCGCATTTATACGGAGTCATCCAGAGCTTCCTTATTAATTTACTTTGTGCGCAGTGGACAAGATTGGCCATGGGCATCATCAAGGAGATCCAGCATCCGCATTGCTGGAGCTTCTAGACCCGGAGCAAAACTCCTCTTTCCTAGATCATTACATGGATGTTCCGGTCGATCTTTCGAAGGTACTGTTTGTCTGCACAGCGAACATGACGGATACAATTCCCAGGCCGTTGTTAGATCGAATGGAGATGATTGAGTTATCGGGCTATGTAGCTGATGAAAAAATGGCAATTGCGGACAAGTACCTAGCGCCCCAAGCTAGGGAAACGAGTGGGTTGAAGAACGTCGATGTGGTGTTGCAGAAGGATGCGATTGAAGAATTGATAAAATCGTACTGCCGAGAGAGTGGGGTGCGCAATCTAAAAAAACAGGTAGGCAGGTGATTTCGCTACAAAGCGCAGATGATTTCCACGTGCAATGTTCAACACTGCTTCTCGCCAAAAAGAATTTAAAAAAAAGCTAAACAAACTAACGAATGAGAACAGATTGAGAAAGTTTTCAGGAAATCTGCCCTGAAGATCGTGCGAGATCTGGGAGAAGCAGCCCTGCCGGAAGAGAAAGCAATGACGCAAGAGAGCAAAGCAGTTTTGGGGGAACCCGAGAAGAGAACAGGGCAAGTTAGCAAAGAGGAAGAGGGAAAGGCCGCGGACGTGGAAAAGGAAACTTGCGAACAGCCACAAGCGCCGTTAGCAGTTCCAGAATGGGTACACGTCACAATTGATAGAAATAATCTAAAGGATTATGTTGGACCTCCGGTCTTTATTTCTGACAGGCTGTACGACATCACACCTCCAGGTGTTGTCATGGGACTTGCGTGGACGCAAATGGGTGGTGCAGCTCTCTACGTTGAATCCATATTGGAAACAGCTTTGACACCCTCTTCTCGCCCAGCCTTGGAGAGAACTGGTAATCTGAAGGACGTGATGAAGGAATCAACGTTAGTGGCCTATGCATTTGCAAAGAGCATGATGTCCCAGAAGTTCCCACAGAATCATTTCTTCGACAAGGCTAGAGTCCATCTCCACTGCCCAGAGGGAGCTGTGCCGAAAGATGGTGAGTTTCCAAAAATCCGTGAATGCGTTTTTCGTCGTTTATTTTTCTCCCTTACCCGGGGTAGACCGATGTCTTTCCCATTTTAACCGAAGTTGACGATGACTGGTTGATGCAGGGCCCTCCGCTGGAATAACAATGGCTACATCTTTAATGTCCCTAGCCCTAGATCACAAGATTGATCCTACGATTGCGATGACCGGGGAACTTACCGTGACTGGTAAGGTACTGCGAATAGGTGGACTTCGCGAGAAGGCTGTGGCGGCGCGCAGATCCGGGGCGAAGACGATTATATTTCCGGTGGATAACACGTCGGACTGGCTAGAGCTCCCTGAGGTAAGAATCGCCTATTACCTACCTAGCCTTGCTACTAGCTTTTGCGGCTGAGTGGTGAATGAGGGGCTAACAAAAATACGTGTAGAACATCAAGGAAGGTTTAGAAGGTCTGTCCGCCAGTTGGTACGGTGATGTGTTTGATATCGTCTTCAAAGACCTTGACAAAGAAAGAGCCGGAAATCTATGGCAGGAACAACTGAAGGGTGAAAACCCAGACACGGAGGCCAGCGATGAGCACGACAATGATTAGATCGGCGCTGACTTATCGCTCTCCACTGTATAACGGAGCGAGGTTTTTAGTATGTGCGAGTATTGGGGGGGGGGGGTTGCAGTTATATTTTGACTTTTGCTTTTTAGAGCTTGTACATTTTCCTCTTGACTTCCTTTCCACAGTAACTGCTCTTGCGGGGTCGGCGAAAAGTAAACTGCGGGACGGGGGAAACAAAAAGCAATCCATCAAAAGGGCCATATTACAATGTCAGGATAGAAGGGGGTTCCTTTCCAGCATACAGAAGGCATTTGCAGATTCATGGTAGATAGCATTCATAGCATTTTTAACTCCTCTCATATTTTTTTCTTTTTCCCTTTTTTTCCCTGAATAAGGTTCTCGGATAGGTTGTCTTGAATGAGTGAGTGAAGTGTAGGGTACTCGAGTACAGTGCTACGGTAGTACTGTACAGTACATAGGGTACTTTACTCGAGTACGGGTATGATACCCTACGAGTACTGTACTCGTAAAAGTACAACGCAGCATAGCGGTAATGGGTATGCAAGGCTAGGCGATGGTGTCTGACATTATCCTCCTTTTTGCATTGCACCCACAGAAAGTTCCCGGTATGAGCAGCACGGCACCACATACACCCCCAAACGGGTTGATCCGGTACCAACAAATACTGGTATGCATACCACTACGAGATCCTTTCTCCAGCTCCGCCATCCCTCAATTGACACCATGGCAACGCCTCGGGTACGAGTACCCTACTCGTATTGTACCCCATTTTCCCAGAAGGGAGCCCAATGATTGCCGTGCTCGGATTGGCCACCAACTTATACCACCCACCTAACGCGAGCCTTGGCCGCATAGTGAGGTTTTGAGAAGTCCATATACATGCTGTGCCCCAATCCTGCGACATCCATTCCGGTCAGGAAGACAAGAGGCCGCCGTGCGGGGAATCTAAGATGGATGGGGGGGGGATTGCGGTGGTGGCATTTTGGCATTCGTTGGTTCGTTGTTTGTTGAAATGCCTTGCTATGAGACGGCGGCCTTGGTTTTGTCGAATGTCCGGGTCGGTTGGTTGATTGGTTTGGCATCTTGGGTGCGGTGGATTTGTCCCCTTCCCCTCCCTTCCCTTCCCTTCCCTTCCTACTCGTAGTCGTTTTTGGTAAAATCTGATTTGTATGATCTTCTATGATATATAATATTATAATAATAATATTATTATTATTATATAAAAGTTACATTGCTTTGTAGCATCCCGTAGAGCTCCGTATAAAGCTAGGGTGGCCGTTAGTTATTATATCAACGCTCACACGATTCAATCGCGAAAGCCCATCATACTTTTGATTAATTGATCCCGTAGTGTTTCGGGGGTGGGGGGAGAGTGACTTGAGCCAAATTGTCAATGGACACATGCCGAAACGGGAGCTGTCGCCGAAAACGGTTTCTTGGACCGCTGAGTGGGCAGGCAGGGCTGAAAGGAAAAGGAACCGTACGGGTATATCATACGAGGCTGGCGCCAAAAATGGTTGAGCAGTTGCATGTACTTGTAATAACATATCATACCTGTAAGGCTTTTTTTTTTCCAACTGAAAACGGCCCATATTTACAGAGCACTGGTTGATGTGTATAGTATCATAGTAAATAGTTTTTGCGTGTGGGGAGAGTGGTGATGCTTGGCGCTGGATTCTATCATACCGATACTTCAACTTTAGGATATTAAATAGCATGCCATACTGGCTGGTATGATAATTGTTTTTGGATGAAAACATGTGAGAACTTTGAAGTTACCGTCTCGAAACAAACAATTGTCATAAACGGGTCCACTCATCCGCTCCTCATCCCTTCCCAGAGAGATAGATACTTCCCAGTTGTCGAGTAAACCGATATTGGTACATCATCTCATCCCCTACCCCACCTCCCCCGCCCCATCCATCCATCCATCCATCAAGTTACCCTCTCCCTCCCTTCCCCACCCTAGCAGATCCGCGCCAAGAAAGGCACCGTGTGCCATCCTGTTGGTATCGTACAGTACTCGTACATCGCCCCCGCGTTGCGATGAGTTGTACGGTTTTGCGGTAAAATTAGTCGATGGGGGAGGGGAGGAGAGGAGAACACGTCGGGTTGTTCGCTGGCCGTGTTGCGGTGGGTGGGGGCTGTGTGTGGAGGGCTAGGTGGTGGTACGAAGCAGGACAGCAACGGTAACGGCGTTGTCATCTGGATCATGTCGTTACTTTTCCCTCGGTCGTCGCCGGAGGAGGAGGAGGTATTGTAAATCTAAATGTTCCTTTGTGATGGCGGTGGGGACGTTGGGATTTACAGTACGGTACTTGTGAGAGCGGGGGGGGGGGAAGAAGAGGATGGAAGGAGAAGACAAGGCAAGCAGATATAATGGCCCTCGTTTTGGATGGGTTACTGGTGACAAAAATTGGCAGCGTAAGCCTACTGCAAACCAAAAAGTAGCCGACTTCAAGTGCACCCCTCAAAGAATAACTGAAAACACTATCATACGAGTACGAGTAGAGCAGGCTTCAGAACCATGCCAACTTTCCTCATACACAAAACGGATCAACTCTAGCAAGGAAAGATTGGTCCAATCGAGGCTGAAAACAGATGGTTGGTTGCCAAAAAAAAACCACCATTTCCCATATCTAATAAAAAAGTGTCAAGCCCCAATCTCACTTCTCGCTCCTTACTTGGGTCGATGAACATTTCAGAAGCGAGAACCTAAGGAAATTCTCTTAGATGGAATAGAGGCGCCCCAATGCCGACGCCATCATACCTTGGGTTGTATGATAAAACGCACTTTTATCATCATACAAGTATCGTACGTTACCGGTTCCCTGCTTCGCACAATGCCCCCCCCCCTCCCCCCCTAAGTACGAGTACTCGAGTATGGGTTGTTTCGAGTGAAATTGCTTAGTCAGATGTCTCACATTCTCACCAACACTTTTTTTCGAATCCTAACCGTATCATAACCGTAGGGACCTGTTGGGAATTAATTAATAATATAGATATCATACGTATGTAGGGTAGGGTCTGGCCTTGTTGGGGAAGGTAATAATTCACCCCTTCTTGTTCGAGTTCTTTTGGCGGTACGTACGAGTACTCTACAGTGGGCACAGTTGGGAGTACTAGTACATATGATACCAGCACGGTATGATACCGATGCGGGTTTAATAGCGGGAGAAGTCAACACCGTCATTGCGGCTGCTGGGTTGGGTATTTGGCATGCTGTGTGTGCTTGTGGGTAAATGTAAAAATGAAATGAATGAGTGGTACAAGTATCGTAGTACCGGTAATTTTCTCGGGCTGCGTGCTCTACAGTACAAGCGCTACGAGTATCCTACGGTACGTAGACTCTCACCGTCCCAAGGGAAGGGAAAAACACACTCCAACACCGTGCTACAGCCTTATCCCAGCCTCACATCCCCCATCCGCCTTAAACACCAACCTCGATAACCTGCACCTTCCGCCGATCCCCCACCACCAACCAACCCCCCCCTCCCCCTTCCTTCCCCTGCCAGCCCCCTCCTTCTTTCCTTCCTTCCTTTCTTCCTTCCTTCCCTCCTTCCGGATCATCATCCGGAGCTAAAGCAGAATTCGTAGATCAAACCCATCTATCTAGCAGAACCAAGATACTCTCCCCGTCCTTCCTTCCTGTTGCCCTACTGTACTCGAGCATCTCGAGTATCGTACATCAAGTGTTGAAGTGCCCTTAAAATGAAGCGCTATTGCATAGTACAGTACTGTAGTAGTCTACCACGGAGATTTGGACCATTTACTTGGTATCCGGGGGGGGGGGGGGAAGTGGTATCATATGATAATGCAATAGCAACCCTTTTTAAAAACGCTTCGACACCCACACCCGAGACAGACCGCGCTCGTTAACGTCCACCCACCCCATGTTAATTGCTCGTTACCCTACCCTACCCTACCTACCTACCGTACCCTTTACCCCTCCCCGATCGCATGTTCCGTTTCGCACGCCCTGTTTTCGCTTACGATAGGCTGGCGATAAGGACCTGCGGTAGCCGCTTTAAACTCGATCTCAGTAAATTTTGAAGGAAAGAAAAAACAGGGAGAAATTTTGTTTTTGCTTTTTCTTCTTCTTTTCTTTCTTTCATTTTTTTCACTTTGTTTGAGAAGAAAAGAAGAAGAAGAAAAAAGGCTTTGAGATGCGGTAATAGGTGAGGAGAGGTGGGTATCCTACTATCATACATATGTCCGGCGGCAGGAGGGGGGCCTTAAGTTACCGGTAATCTGCCGATACCAAGTGCTCGGGGGGGGGGAGACGCCGGTTAAAGAACGGGGAAAAACATATTGATTGTTTCGATAGAGATACCGGTATGATATTTTTATGGGTGTGAATGGGGTTCCAACGGCGAGCAGGTGACTTGGAACATGATTCATGATTCATGATTCATAGGTGAGTGATGATGGATGAGCGGGAGGGCGGGGGGGCACAGTTGCTGATACCTTATGATCATGTCATCTGTAAGGCTAGGGCGTTGTTGGTTCCTTGCGTTACTCGAGTATGATACTCGAGTACAGTGCACCCCCCAGCGCTATAGTACCGCTATTTTGTGACTCTCGCCGTATTGTGTCGTCAGCAGTGCTTACTAGAATCCCTTTATTGTACTCCATTACTGTGTACCCGTACCCTACCGTACATTTCCATCATCGTCATCATCATCATCATCATCCTCTGAGCTGTTTGTGGTTGCTGTATCTGGACGGGCAGGTAGGCTATGCCACTTACTTAGCGCGTCTACGTCGCCGCCATGCGGACAATCGCCTCCTCCCCCTTTCTTTTTCTCTCTACCTTCGATGGGGGAGGACAATTGACTTGTGTCTGCCTGTATTGACCAACTCATGAATTTCATTGTTCACCGCTGTTTCTTTTTCCCCCCTTGGCGATGGTGGTGGTAGTTTTGATTGGCGCTGGGCATGCCAGCGAAGGGTGAGGATTGGTCTGTTATGGCATGCATGGCATGGTGGGGTGATGAAAAAAGAAAAGAGAAAAAGAAAAAGAAAAGAAAAGGGAAAAAAGGGAAAAAGAACAATTTCGACCCGTTGGTGCATGCACTTTCGTCTTTTCTGGAAGGATATTTTTTGAGGAGAAAAAAAAGGAAAAGAAAAACATCATTAATTTGCTCCCACACCATAAAGTGGTGGAGGGATTGGTTGATTGGTTGATTGATTGATGGACTGGAACGACTGGGTTGCAAACACCGCAGCACCGCAGGCAGCAGGCTGAAAACGATGGGGCATGGCAGTCAGGCAGCACCTCGCTACCAGAGTGTGGGTGTACAGTACCTGCTCGCGCGCCCCCCATGCTTGTAGGGGAAAGGAATAAACATTTACACTGAGGATGATGATGCTGATGATGGGGGAGGGTTTTGTTATGATGGATGTCGGTTGATGGAGGAAAACGGTAATTTAATTTGGTGGGCGAGCGAGGCAGAATCCTGTCGGAGGAGGAGAAGGAGTGGTGGTATCACGGATGGATGGAGGTTGGGGAAGGGGTAACCGCACAGTAGTACTCGTACCTTGAAGAGAAGATGTGCAGTTTCTCTCATGGACTACCGGTACACCTACAGTAACGCACCTGGCACATATGATAGTCTAACCCGCACCTACCCCACCAGCTTTTACAGCCAAGCGGACGACGGGATAAGATGAAAAAATATTGCAAGGGAAAACAACAAGATTGAACCTGAAAACCCGGAATGGGAATTGAAAGGTTTCGCCATTTCACCGGTTCCAGCCACTCATTCCTCTCCCCTCCATAAGCTACCATAAACCCTACTGTAGTCACAAAGGAAGGCCGAAAAGATATGATACCCACAAAAAGAGAGAGAGAGAGAGAGAGAGGCCTGCATCACGACTCTACTCTTATTCACCCGCTTTGGGGATTGACCGTTACATTGTGTTTTTAAAGCCGACCACTGGTGATCCTGTCTGACCCATTCTATTCTACTCGAGTATTCCCACCCTCCTCCTCTCCTCCCCTCCACCAATTCTATCTACCGCTTCCTTCTAGGGGCACCAACCACCCCCCCAGAAACCAGACAATACGGCAATATCGGTACTTTCCCCCAGCCCACCTCATCCTTCTCACTCGCCCGCCCATTTCACACTCCCACCCTATCCCACGCCATATTCGAACACCTACGTATACCTCTACTGGAGGTGACCGTCTGGTTCGGTAGGGATACTGGCTGTGCCAGCTCACTTTGCAGGGGAAAAACACGGTAATTGGATGCTTCAACCTGGCGATGGGGAAGGGTGCGTAACGCGGGCTTTATTTTAGCTGGCTTTTTCTTTTTCCTTTTCCTTCTTTTCCCATCACCACTTGAGTAAGGATGGGGCATGTACGAGTAGGTTACTCGAGTACAAGTGTGCTCCTTTTTTTTTTTTTTTTTTTGTGCACACGTTTTTTGCTTTTCCGCTCCTCTTCCCACTTGCAGGAACAAGGCCGCCGGCGGACGCTGCGAATTCCTTGTCACGGAGTGAAGTACTCGAGTAGATATCTGCTAGAAGAGTTTTTCCACCTTCGTCCCATTCTCCCGTAGACGTAGCAGAAGGGCTACAAAGAGCAAGTTTCAGAGAATGGAACAAATCTCTCGTGGGATTGGTGAAGGGAGCGGATTGTGGGAAGGGAAAAGAATGTGAAGCGCTGGGCATTTGGATGATAGATGTTGAAAAACGCATATCCTCGAGGGTTTGGTCAGTACGAGTACTTGTACTTTGCTACCGTACCCGCCATCACACAAATTTACAATGGTATATGGACTCAAAAAAGAAATTGGCCTATATTATTATTATTATTATTATTATTTTCATTTTTCCCTTTCCAACCTGCTTTTTTTCTTTCCCCTCCTCGTCACCCACATTCACTGCGCAATAACCTAACCTTTTACTTCTTCTTCTCTTCCCCCTTCTTTCCTTGTACTGTACTGTATTTCATAGATAACTCTCACACACTTTCACTCTCGTTTTTTCCATATTTCAATTTGAACCTTTTTCCTTGTGCTCTCTCTCTCTCTGCTTACTACTTACTTTTTTACCACGGTAGCTGCTACCACCACTGTACCACTTACCGGTACTACTACTACTACATCCTTTTCCCTCTGAGTTAGCGCCCTTTCCATCCAACTTTCCTTCCCTCTGGTCCTTCGTTTCGTCTTGTTTATTTGGTTTTTTTCATTTCATTTTTTTCATTTTTTTCATTTTATTTTTTCCTCTTTTCACCTTTTCCTCGCTGTTTTACTGATTCGAGTCTTTTCCCCTGCCTATTCCCTTTCTAACACTTTTCTCTTCCTATCTATCTATTCCCCATTTTACCGGATTGTCATTTCCATCTCCTTCCATATATATTGTTTCGACTGTTCGCAAGGCCCACTGACACTTCTGCTCCCACGCTTGCTGCTGCTGCTGCTGCTGCTGTCATCCATTCACAGCACCGCTGTGTGTGCCGCTGTGTGTGCTGGGTTTGCATTGGCTGATTTGAGGCTCTTTCTCCATTGTCGCGATTGCTTTTCGTTCACTCCGCTCCGCTCTCTTCTGATCTATCTCACTCTTGATTGATGATGCCAGCCGTTTCCCTGCCTCGCTCCTGCCTTGGTTAGTCTAACCAACGCGCTGTATCTTTTCCACTCTACGACAACAACTAAACTACTACTGCTACTGTTCACTACTGCCGCACAACTACCACCACTGCTACTACAGTACTGAATTCTCCTCCATCCTACTACTCTTCCCCTTTCCCATCAGACCAAGCAAAGAAGGGAGATAAAAAAGAAAAAAAAAGAAAAAAGGACCCCCTCCATTGCGGATATCACATACATTCCACATATGCCCGTTTGTCCTCTGCTCCGTCCAGACACTCTCCGTCTTCATCTTCTCCTCTCTAGTTCTTGTGAGGCGAGACAGGGAGACCGATTGTGATTTCTCCATACCCTTCGAACTGAACTGACGGGCACAACCAACTTTATAGTCCCTCCGCCCACTCTCCCGAGCGTAGAGAGAGTGTACCAAAAAAGTATGGCTCTTCCCCTTCCCGATGCTCACAATTCCAATCCCGTTCCTGCAAGCTTCCCTAACGGATTCCGTAAAACCGTGCTCCTGCTTCTGCTGATGCTGCTGCTACTCTGCTGCTGGTGCTGTCGCTCCTTTGCTGGCTGCCCCCGCCGATGCTCTTACTGCTACTACTACTCTTGGATAGACTACTGGATGCTGAACGCTATCCTGCAGCCATGCTAACAATTACTCCTACTCCACCGTTTTTCATGTTTTATTTTGTTATTTTATTATCATTATTATTCATTTTACACGTCACACTTTTATTTACGCGCGCACACAGACATCTTCCTTTTTTTCCCCCCCCCCCCACACAGTCACGTCCTGTCCTCATATTTGTCTGACCCGGGGCATCGGCGGCGCTTGCACCTCTGTTTCCGCCCTGGCGAACATCCCTTCAAGGAATCTGCAGGGGTATCTGTGGCGCGCTACCTTTCTTTCCCCATCCTTCATCAGTTTTTCGTCTGAAACGCACCGGACCTACAGTACCGATAATCCGTCACTCTCGCAATAACCTTCCCATCCGTACATCGAATCCGTGTCATCCATTACCCACTCACCTATTCACCTTTTCGGGGAACCCTTGATCCTCCTTCTCCGCATCGGCCGCAAAAAAAGGGCGACTGGATTGGGGTTGACAAAGAATAATAAAAAATAAAAAAAGGAGGACAAAGCACAGTGGAGGAAAAACTTGCAGGAACAGCATCGCCCGGAAGGAAGCAGTTAGTAGCAGCATCAGTAGCGGCAGCAGCACAGTCACGGATATACCACAATTATAGGGGAATAAGGTTAGCTGATCAATTGCATCTTTTATGACTCGTCTAGAAAGGATTTCCCCCGGTTACAGTTAGATGAACCTCCGCTGCATGGGCATGGCTCTATCTACTCCTCCTGACAGGCCGACCGATAGGGTTTGGTCCAAATGGCGAAAGAGGCTGCTGAGTTGGTCTTTCCGTGACCGTGGGAATACTTCAGGCAAGAGGCCAACAACACCAAAAAACAACGGGAACTCCACGAGTAATGGAAATGTTATTGACCCACCCAGGCCACCAACTATTGCCAGGCAGCAGTCTGAGATGAGACCTCGCCTGAAACCTGCAGAGCTCTCGCCCACGGAACGTAGGGGCATGTTAAATGGACCAAACTTTGGATCACATTCTCTAGGGAGTCTGCAAATTGCCCCGGTCCAACCCGTAGCTGCCCCAGAGGAAGCCCCGGTGAGGGAGGGGGAGGAAAGGGGGGAGGGGGAAGAACAGCGGGACCCTTTCCGGAGTGATGGCCACATGTTCGCACCACGGCCTGAACTATCGATTCTGCCTCCGGCGCCGCCGGCTCCCACGGACTCTGTCGGTGGGTTATCCGCGACGGATGACGATGTGGACGGTGATGTGGTGAGGTCACCTGTTGATGATGAGCTGGATTGGAAATGGATCCTTAACCTGAGCATGCACTTCCGCGATCAATCGGACCGGGAAAAGTTTTTCGTGACTTATGCTGAGACGCCGACTCTCCGACGTAGGCTTACAGTATCTTGCGATTACCGGGACGCGGAGGAGGGTACGTTAGAGAGGGAATTGGCGACGCTGAAATACCAACGGGACAAGAGCGCGAGAATATATGACGCTATCAGGGACTCGTTGAGCGATATCCAATTCTACGATACTATCACAAACCTCAAGCTACAAACGAGTGATGGGAGACTCCATGTCCATGTCACTGAGGACCTGCATGAAATCATCCCATACCCGCCCGTCGTTGCCATCGCGCACCTGAGATGCCCCAAGTACAGGGAATCCGAGCTGGAATTCGACTCGCATCTCTCCGGGTTTGTCTACAAAGTCAAAGTCAATGGGGATGTGTTTATCAAGAAGGAAATCCCGGGGCCCGATACGGTTGATGAGTTTCTGTACGAGATCAATGCGCTATATGCGCTGGCTGACTCCGAAAATGTCATCCGTTTTGGTGGGTGTGTGGTGGATGAGGATCGAAAAAAGGTCAAGGGGCTCCTCATTAGTTTCGCTTCCAAGGGAGCTCTCATCGACATTATATACCATGAGCGTGGAAGGCTTTCTTGGGAGACTCGAGAGAAGTGGGCGAAGCAGATTGTCTCTGGCCTTTCGGAGGTACACGAAGCCGGCTATGTTCAGGGGGATTTCACGTTGTCCAATATCGTAATTGATGAAAACGGTGATGCGAAAATCATTGACATCAACCGCCGGGGGTGTCCGGTTGGCTGGGAACCCCCAGAAGTTACTGCCATGATTGATGGACTCCAGAGGATTGGGATGTACATTGGAGTCAAATCTGACATTTTCCAACTTGGCATGGTGCTTTGGGGAATCGCGCACGAAATGGATGAGCCAGAGGCTGTTAAAAGGCCATTAGGCATGGGTGAAGCCCCCGGTGATGTGCCGGACTACTTTAGAGACATCGTTGAAGCCTGCCTATCCGAGCGGCCTCAGGGCCGTCCGTCCGCTAAAGATTTGATTTCATTATTCCCTGAGCGTGACCAACCTTCTCGCCGCTATATCGGCGAGATGCCACATTATGAGGGAGGAAGCGGTTCTTTTGCAGCCCTGGGTGGGGGGGGCTATTTTCCAAACGGCTACCCAATGGGACTCGGACGGCCTTATGATGAGGCGCCTCGGGAGGATGGCGGACAAAGCATGTCAGGGGTGGGCGGAAATGGCGGTGTCGATGGAACGAACGGACCGCTCCTCAATGGAAAGGTCAGACCCGTCAAACTCCCCCTAACTAGCGCGTTTTCGAAGCCCCACATCTGACGGAGTGATTGTGTATGAAACGAAACAGCTATCACGAAATTCCAATAGCACCTACACCCCATTCCTTCCGCAAGAACTCAGTAACCACATGACAGGCAGCCGTCGTCCAATAGTGGACGAAGACACCCAATCCAACGCCAGCAATAGCAATCGCCCAATATCCCGCGACTCATTCGAAGACGCACCGCAAGTAATCGAGGCAGCACCCAGTGAAGCCAGCGGGGAGGAATCGTACGTACCAAACAACATCGAATCCGTAATCGGCCTATCACCCGCAAGCCTACCCCCACCACCACCGCCGCCGCCGTTTGTGAGACCACCACTGGAGCGGTACTCGACGGCGAACGACTACTTTGGGGATGAGTTGGGCTGGCCGAGTTACATGCCTGCTCCTCAACCCCGGCGGCTGCCGAGTCCACCTTCTTGGGGAAGTGGAGGTGCGAGGGGGATGCCCACGAATGAGGACTATGTAGGTCGAGATCCCCAGGGGGTGGAGTCACCAGGGAATTCACCTACGTCGCCGACGTCCCCGCCGCCGTTGTCATTGCCTATACCTACTACGGGGCCCGGGCTTGCGGTTTGAATTGAGCGTTTGGCTTCTTTCATTGTTAAAATAATATTTTCCGAATTTGATACCCTGGGGAGAATGTGATTAGGATGGCGACGCTGTATAGATGTCTGAGATAAATTATTGGGGATCACGGTTGGACATTCGGTTTCTCATTTTATCGTGCTTTTTTGTTCTGATTTATTGTTGGGTTGGGGTCTTATTATCTGGTCATTTTGCCTCATTTGGATGTTTTTCTGTTTTTCTCCGGTTTTTTTTTTTTTTACCGTTTTACACCCTGATTTCGTGTTTTCTCACCGCTGGGATAGTTTGATAAGGATACATGGCATTTGTTTTCCCGTTTTTCCCCCATTTCGCGCCTCTTGTTTTTTGCCGTTTGCTGTTTTTACCATCTTTCGCAACGTATTCATTTCATTTCCTTATACCCCCACCCCCCCCCCTTCGTATGAATCTCAATTTCAATTTTTCAACGTTTTTTATTATTGTTGATCTATCATAACTAGGTTATTCAATCTTTCCTTCCTTTCATTCTTGCTTTCCGCATCATCATGAAAAAAGTTTGCTCCATCGTTGCTTAACTTTACCTGACAACTTACTAGTTTCATTTGTTCTTCAAATTTATTTTGTCATGTCGCGTGTACGCCGTGGTTAGTATCACGGTGCCATCTGTAGGTGGCGTAATATTGCTTATCGTTCTCTCCTTTTCGTTTGCTTTCTGTTTGGATATTTTATGGGCAGCAAGTGTAGGAATTGCGGTGGGGGTGTGTGAATTTGCATAAAGCTGGTAATGAGTATATGACAGAACATTTCTTTTGTCTTTTCTTTCTTTCTTCCCTTCTTTATCTACTTATTTAGTCTAGGTTGTGCAGGAGGAGTATAGTAGGGGGAGAAGAATGAGGAGGAGAGGAGGAGAAAAAAAGGTCCTGCGGTATGATAGAAATTGGACCTTTTTTTTGGGGAGGAAATTGTGAAATATTTTGTGCGAGTGATTTTTGTGATTCATTGACAGAACAGAACATGGGGGAGAAGTGATGAAAATGCGCAGTGCAGTGCACTAGCGAGCCATCGCATACCATACATACATACAATGAATGCGTAATGTGCACCAAGTGCGCACCAACAAGTACAGTACAGTGCTGTACATTGCTGCACATACGGTATCATACATTCGCCGTGAACGCGACAACTATTGAGTTACCATTTGAAACCTCACTCCCACCCTCCCCGAAGGACAATAGCAACGGCACGGCACGGCATAATGCAGTATGATACTGCACCGTACGCCCGAGCTCCTCACACAAAAAACTTGCCACCTGGTACCTTGCCATCTCGACAACAATAACACAGTGAGCATCGTATGATACTTGTACAATATTTACAATACCAACTACAAACCTATGAAATATTAAACTGTGAAAAAGCGTTCCATTCCAACCAGGGTTCATGGTTCCATGCGAGGAACAGATTCCCGAGTTCTATCATATATATTCCGACCCGGCTTCAAGCCTCATTTATATATATATATATATTATATATATCGTTTCAAACAATTTGAATTTCACAAGTCTGATATCGTATCATAGTTCTTGAAAACCTCCGGAACCTAAATAAAAAGTATGATGTATAAAAAAAAGATCTCGATCAAGACGTGAATTTCGGGACGACAGGAATGGTACTATATTTCCTCCAGCATATATAACCCCTGCACCCCCTTTTGTTTTAAAGAAAAAGCAACAAAAAAACGGAGGAAGCATCGCGACGAAGCAACAGCCTTACTTAGCATGATGTATAATAAAATAATATAGCACAAGGTTCAGAAAGGATCCTTCGCACTTGTAATGCCGAACAACCGAGAAGCGGAAGGGGTGAGTAAGTGAGTATCGTAGGAGAAGGGAGCAAGCAAAGGTGGGGGATGGCGTCGGGACGGATGAAGACAAGGGACATAAGTGATTCGCAGAATTGTCGTAAGTATCATTGGTATGGAAGAACCATCGCTGTATGATATTATCATATTATCATACCCAACCAATCCGGTCGGAACCCGGTGCCCTCATCAACGTCGGTGTATGATACCTTACGACCCGGGCGGCAGTGCCGGTTCGAGAAAGATGCTATGATATCACGTCTTTGGACCAGTCAGGCGATTAAGGAGGTGGGTAGTCTCGAGGGAGAGGGTATCGCTATGTGCCCCTTGTCGGTAATGGCGATTACGGAGCTGCGTCTTGCGCCTCTACTGCTATCCTATCATACCTGGCACGTGGGTTCATTGTTGGAAATTTGGGGGAGATGGACAAGATAAAACCGGTAGCAGTTGCAACGGTAATGACTGAAAGGCGGGTTTTACGCAGTGGATAGAGTTGGCTCTGGTGGTGATGAGGGAACCTTGTATCGTGTGTGTGAACAATAGATAGAAGAGAAGTGAGGAGAGCATTGTACAAAAGGTGTGGAGTGGAGTTGGCTTCTTGAGAAAGAAAGAAAAGAAAAGAAGAAAGGGAAATAAAGGTGAAAACTTTCACCGCTTACGCGTCCTCATATGAGAGATACGCACACCACCCACCGTAGTTTCCAGCTACTGGTATGATACTTAACTGGTAGTCAAGTAGCCGAGTGATGATGCATGATCGGTAAGCGGCCGGGTTGGCAATACTTTTTGGGGCGTAAAGCTTTATTATTCCTCCGTATGATACAACGCGTAGATCCACAAGTTACATGGTATGGAAAAAAAAGAGCGATAGGTGTTAGATTTAATCTTGGATCGGTTTATGCACAAACCCCCACCACAAAGCTAGAGATAGTGCCTGGATCAGGTCCCAATTGGAGCTGTGAAAGACACACCAACCCGACCGTAACCATCGCCCACTTTTTTCTACACACCGACAGGGCCTAGGAACGTGGCATTAAAGGGGGGAATAGTGGTAGCGGAGTGGGTCGTATCTGGGTATTATCAGCGCCCAATTTGGGTCGCTGGGACTTCTAGCTTCGAGCGCTGATGGCGCTGGGGGGCTCAGGTGCCAGTCCTTCAACCCCCTCTTGGAGACTCTCGGGGTTCTCAAGAGCATGTCAATGACCTTCTTGTTGTGCCACTCGCAAGCGATATACAGGGGGGTCCTGCCTAGATAGTCCTCCACGTTGACATCGACTCTTTGGTCTTGCAGGATCATCTCGACAATCTGGATATCACCCTGCTTGGCAGCGCAGTGTAAAGGTGTCATGCCAAAGTCATCGGTGGCCTGCACGTGAGCGCCTTTCCGCAGTAGCGCTTGCACCACCCCTATGTTCCCCCACGTCGTGGCGAGATGCAATGGCGACTGCCGGGCGATGCATCTATCGTTGACGAGGTTCGGCTTGGACTCTAGCAGGTCCAAAACTATCTCGGGGTTCTGGCCCTTTGCCGCCCAATGCAAGGCATTGTTTCCCTGGTTATCCCTATCCGCAAGATCGAATCCTCTCGCCACGAGGAGCCGGACGATGTTCCTGTTACCGCACTCGGCTGCTATATGAAGCGCGGTTCTCCCATGACCATTTTTGGCCTTCACATCTGATTTCATCCTCTGAAGCAGCATCGCTACAATGTCTTCCCAGCTCCATGTTGCTGCCCAATGGAGGATTGTCCCTTTTTCCTTGTCAACTAGGGCGAGGTCAGATCCACTTTCAACAAGCTCTATGAGCGCCGGCCTTGATCCAAATTCGGCTGCTCGTTGCAGTGCTGTTCGCCCATCCTTATCCTTGACATCTAGAATGGCTTGGTGCACGATCAGAAGGCGCGCAATCTCGGTCTCACGATATTTCGCGGCCAGGTGTAAAGCCGTTTGACCATCTTTATTTTCGGCATTGACATTGACCGACTTTCGTTCGAGTAGATATTTCACAACATCGGCCCAGCCCATCAAAGTGAGTAAATGGAGAATGGAGTTTCCATCCCGGTCTATTTCGTTGGCACCAACTTCGTCATCATCCAAACACATCTTGGTCAGGTCTCGCCAATCTTGCCTGATACAATGTTGAAGCGGCGTTCTTCCCTCTGAATCCTTCACCCTCAACCTGGCTCTCCTCGACTCGATAATATCTCTGGTTGTGGATTCTTTACCCCAGTAGGCGGCTATTAAGAGTGGAGACATTCCCCTCGAATCTTCGCAGTTGAGGTCTACTCTTGGTATTTCTCGTATTAGTCGGCTCAAAATACCCCAATCGTTACTGACGGCTAGGTGGACGAGCGCCATGCCGTTTCTATTGCGTATATTAAGGTCGACCCTTTCCTCTTCAAGGAAAGGCTTGATCTCGCTCTCCTTGGCAATTCTCATGGCATGATGCAGCGCTGTTTCCCCGGATTTTGTTGTCGCATTGACATTAACTCTTGGGTGTTGGAGAAGGTATCGAAGGATCTTATTAGGGTGTGACTCGGAACCCACAGCCACGTGAAGTGCGGTTTCAGTGTTGAAATTCATCTGATTCATGTCTTCCACCTTGGGTTCAAGTACGAGGAGCACATTCAGAAGCCCATATTCCACTATAAGGTGCAGCAAGGGTTGTGGTTTTCCCGGGCTCTTCCCGAGTAAGCTGCGCCGTAATTGGTATTCAAAGGCCGATTTGTATTCATTCTCTGCGAGCCTTTGCACCAGTTTCAACACTTCCTCCGCCTCGGCTTCCGGTACCAGAGCTGCGTGCCTAGGCCAGTATTCTGCACAATACCTAAAAAATGGAGATCTTGCAGTATCTGCATAAACATCGCTTGTAGTAAAATATGCTCTCCGAAGTGAGGGTGCGGAGCGGATATCAAAGCCGTCGAGATTGAGATAAGTGAGGCAACCAACAGATAGTTCCAACGAGGCCGCGTGAACATCAAGTACGAAGTCTCCACCGTCTTCAAATCGATCTTCCGGATGACCAAGTGATGACACCAGAAATTCCCTCGTAGATTGGTGTAGTAGGCTCACATTCCCATCTCGAATATTGATCAGATTGCCGCACAGGAAACGAAGCCTTTTCTCTGGATTGAATCCCAGATGTTCCTCAAGTTCAGTATGCGAGGAATGGAAGCGCCGAAGAGCAAGCACAATACCTAGTTCTTGCACTTTCAATGGCCGGAAAGCATAGACCAACCAGGTCAAAAGGAGTCTTGTATCGGGTCGCTTCCGTTTCGCAATCCTCCCCAACATAGTACGGTATAACGCGTCCAGACCGCGGGGGAGGTGCTCGAGCTCATTAATCCGGGCCTTGATCGAGGCCTTGCTCCAATCATCATCATCTCCAACAAAAGAGACCCATGCCAATGTCGCCCACAAAAACATGCCATCTGACCGTGACTTGAGTGCTTCGATCACGGCGTCCCTTTGATCGTCAGGAAAATCATTCTCTGCAGCGAATTTCCCTATGGTCTCAGAAAGGAAGCTTTCAATATCTTTTTGGGAGCGAGTAGAACTCAGCTCGATCTTTCCAACCCAAGCAGGAGAAAGCTGATGTTGTATCTCCAACTCAGGCCGGCTTACCACGGCCACCTTCAGCGCAGACTGTGCGCCTGTGCTGTGTACAAGGTCTATGAGGCCTCCTAGGAGACGTGGGACATCGGTGGTTTTAAGCTCGTCGACGGCGTCAATGACTATACGTATCTCTTGAACGGATGTTGCGCATATGTCCCCCAGGATCTTCCATAGAGTTGAGACTGTGGTGGAGAAGCAGGTCACTATTCCTAGTCTCTCCATCTCGACATACTTTAATACGTGCTCGAAAAATCTCGAATTCCGAGCAAGAAGCTGAAAGACAACCGACCGGAGGGTATTTAACTCTGTTTTCCTCGATTCGTCTTTGTCATCGCAATGAAAATACGCCACCAGTGAAGTCTCTTGGCATTCGCACCGCTCGATAATATACTTCGACATGACCGTTTTACCAAAGCCCGGAGCTCCATAGAGCCATAGTAGTCTCGAGCTTTTGCTCATTTCCCACTCACTAAATTGGGGCTCTTCAGATATCCATTCGCAAGTT